GGCTACTCAAATATTTTACGTTTTTGATACTAAATTAACTTCTGAAGTATAATTTTTTATTGTTTTTATATTTTTCAATATATTTATTTTGTTCGTACAAAATAAAAAAATAATTTTTAACGATACAATAGTCTTCGTTAGGCTTAACATTGACGAAAATTCAACGCGAAGCGACACGCAACGGACAAAAATGTCAAAATGATATAAATTAATATATTTTCCGTGCATAATCGGTTATCCGAAATATCAATCTTCCGAACGACCCCAGTCCCCAATTGATTCGGATAATCGACGCTTTACTGTATTTATAAAAGACCTTATGTGAACAAATTTAAATATGTGAAAATTTAATAAATTCGTATGAACAATTTATTTTAAAAACTTTATTTTTTAATTATTAACAATCTTATTATTATTATTATCATTAATCGACGTCATAATATTTATTTTTATATAATTTTTACTTTTACAGAAGGAGGCAAAAAAACTTTGACAGCTCGAGTAGCTAGTGCACGTGTAAACAGAAACGTCATACAAAATAAATCGGGAGAATAGAGAGAAACTATATTCTTTTGCCATATTCTATTGCCATATTGAATATCGATTGACCTTGCCTAAGGCCAAGAAAATAAACTTAATGCTGCTAAAATGTGCTAAGTGCACCTGGGGACTAAATCATAAAACTTTAAAACTCTATACAATAAAGCAACACAACCAATATTACTTAATGCGGCCTCCAGCTCGGGTTATGTAACTAGTAAAAATTCAGTAGCAAGTAAATTACTTTCTCTTCAAAGACAGTTTGCCGTTAGAATTTCAAACTGTTGCAGAACTGTTTCTACTAATGCATCTGATACTTTCAAAGCTCCTTCCTACGCCACTACGTACTGTAGAAAATATTCTAAACTACTACACTAGAACTACAAACATCAGGGCTCAATAACGGTCTCTACTCCTATCTACGGCTGTTCATACGCTACCACATTGCAATTACCCTACTATCTCTGATCATTAACTTGTAAACAAGGTTATTCCCAGAATACATTTAGTGTCATTTGCTTCCTCCATGGATAACCATGCAGACATTAATATATACACAGATGGGTCCAAAGGCCCCCTTCGTGTTGTCTCCAGCATCTATATTTTCCTCCAAACTGACATATTATGCCCAAAATATGTTAGAAGGTACAGATACCCCCCACATATCAAGCTGAAGAAAATGCTGTCTACCAAGCTGTTCAATAGGACACTTAACTACCAAACAAACATTTACTGTGTATCAACATTTACAGTGATTCTCAGTCTGTCCTAAAAGCTCTATAAATTCTTAATCGCAATAGCGATAAAATTACGTATATCCAGCACCATATTACAAATTTTGTAAATAAGATGACTTTTGTATTTGTTCCTGGCCATACAAGCATACTAGAAAATGAAAAAGCCGACTTTGAGGCAAAGTCAGCTGCAAAGGACACTGACTTGGACTACACTCACATCCCTCTTTCACGTAGTAGCCTTAAAAATTATATTCATGACAATGCTATGTAAAAGGGGAATCAACAAGGGTTGAGCAGTATAACTCGTAGAATAACAAGACTATACTTTCCTAGTGTTAAATGCAAGTTCTCATCACCACTTAAAGATTTAACGTTTGCTACTGCTCAACTACTAACTGAGCATGGTAATTTTAGAATCTACCTGGCGATGTATAACAGGGCAGAAACTGCTTCTCGCTTTTGCTCTACAGAAAACCTAGACACCGTCGACCATATGATCTATCATTGTCCAATTTATAAATTTCTCTCTCACTCTCTTTTTTTATTTCACGGCCTATTTCCCATGATAAGAAGTGAGTCTGCTAGCGTTATTATTTTATCACGTCACACGAGATGGCGTTAGTACAACGAGCGTTCTTAATAGAAACCGCCAAATCGAAGCCAAATTCAAAACTCCATCACTCAATAAGATCAAAAAATAAAAATAAGAATATTACGTAAGACGAGATCTATTACCCTCTTGCCCCTTAGTAAAAAATCGTAAGAAATCATTGACCCTTACCCACCTCAAAATATCTTACGAAATTTATGGACGGCTCCTTGCTGAAAATTTTTTAGTGATGCATGAAATGCTTCAGGTGTCTTGTTACTGAATATTTCGAAGCAAAACTGTTTTAACGACAAAACATAAATACTGTATGCATATAAGAACATCACTGCCTTTTCTGGGCTTAAATTTTAAAAGATCCTTCAAAATCTATTGTAGGTTTCACAAAATCTTTCTTTCTGTAGTAGTTTCTACTAGTCTTATGTACAACTATAGTACAAAAGACTACTAAGTACCACTTTCGACATCAGGAAGATTTACCATTATAAATATCTGCTTCAGCACATTTTACACAGATCCAAACGGATTTCATATAGCTGCTTGTTGCCTAACCTAAATTCTACCTAACCTAAATTCTTATTGCCATTTCATTTTCTAGTGCATTGACAGCAGCATTTAGATCTTTAGTGCATTGGTGTAGATCTAATCTTCGCTTGTTCTGAATTGAGATAATGTTCGGAATTTTGTCAATTATACTATAGTTTTAAATATATTATTAATTCAAACCTCAATAATTTCAAACGCATTTATTATATCTAATTTATTGTGTTATGTTTTATTACTCTCAATTTCTTTACAGCAATATTCGTAATCATGAACGAAAATTCTCAGAAAAATTTCAATCTCCACTTCAAGATTGTGTACACTTTGATTTTCTTACAACTTGCTGCGCTTGGTATTTTACTCTATTCTTTTTATATCCGTCATTATCACGAAGGGGACTTACAACAGACAGGCATATTGTCCGAAAAGAAATTAGAATGTTACTTTAATAACGATGTCCACTCGGGTATTGATATTAAATGTCCGACTGGAGAAAATGTCAGAGTAAGTGATATATTTTCTGCATTGTATTTTGACCAGTGTCAATATATAAACAGAAACACTTCACAGATATTGATACTATGACAATTTATAAATAGATTTTAATTAGAATTTAAATTATATATATTCGCATTTATCTAATTTTTCAGGCAAATGATTTTCGGACACTTTCCGTTGCAGTGAATGCCTTATGTCAAAATAATTGTCAAAAATTACCAGGTATGTATTGAATAATATTTTACTCGCTTTTCGAATATTATAAATACAATATTTTATGTTTCTATCGAAATTACTTTATTGCTATAACATTAAATTTTTGCATATAAACAACCCTTTACATATGTATGGAGAGTTCTGATTCACTTTAAAATTTAGAGTGCTATAAACGCAAATCATTAAATTGTACTGTTACTGTCAAAACCAGTTTTTAGTTAGGATGCGTTTTAACTAGTTGAAACTAGTTTATACCGAATGTCTTTGTTAAAACTCGTTTTGTCTAGTTAAAACTAGTTTTAACTCAAATTCATTTTTGTGTAGCAGTAAATTCTGGTTTTAACTAGACAAAACGGTTTTTAACAAAGACATCTAGTATAAACTAGTTTTAACTAGTTAAAACGCATCCTAACTAAAAACTGGTTTTGACTGCAACGTATAGAGTGATTCGGGGAAAGTTGCCTGATTTTTGATATTTTTAAACGGTGACGTCACATATTGTCATGTATTTGTATGATGAATCGTCGGGCCAATATTGAGTGCGGAAAGCTGTAGTTGGCTAACGTTACTTCATTTTCTACATCCGAGAAGAATAAAAGCTAGATAAGAACGAAGTTTTTGTTGTGAAATGTTTCTAGAATAATTTTAAACTAAAAGTTAAAATGGAATTTATTAAAAATTGCTAAAAACAATTAATGTGTGATGTAGTTAAGGTTCTAAAGTTTCCATTGTCAGCTACCGTCGATTCCGATCGGACATGCTGGAGCAAGTGACTCTACTAGGCAATTTACCCCAACAAATGGAAAATATGCCACATTTTTCTTGGGGTAACGTGCCTATTTTTTGTTAATTGATTTCCAATATGCCTATTTTTAATAAACTTTTGTTTTCTGGTTTTATTGCAGGATATGCATAGAAATTATATAAGGACTTCTCAAAAAAGTTTTTGGACTGAAAAAAGCTTTCAGCTAGCTATAGAACACGTTAGAACGGGCGGAAACTTAATAATACTTATACTGTGCTGTTATACTTACTATGAAGTACTTTGTACTACATATGCAATAAATTAAATTTGGTTAAAAAATTCAAAAATTAATTTTATGCAATTATATTTGTTATCTTACCCTAATGGCATTTGGCATCTCACCCGGATACTTAGGGTTAGATGCTTAAAATGCCAGACAGTGAAAAAGTCGTCATTGCAAACAGAGTATACAATTTTTTAAAATAAACTCCAAACTTTTATTTGAAAGACATACTCCAGAGTATGATATTTTCATTAGAGGGCTCCTAAACCCGAATTTGAGCTGTAATTTCTTTCATAAGCAAAATGTTAGGCATCTTAAGCCGAATACATTATTTATTTCCCCCAAACATATTTATGTAGCTAAAATTAGTTTTAACTGATGTTAAAAGTTAAAACTAGTTTTATCTAAAATCAAAACATGTACAGCAGTAAATTAACTAGAATTTACTGCTAGTCAAAAATGAATTTGAGTTAAAACTAGTTTTAACTAGACTAAACGGGTTTTAACAAAGACATTTAGTATGAACTAGTTTCAACTAGTTAAAACGCGTTCTAACTAAAATGGGTTTTGACTGTAACAGTACAATATGAAAGAATTTATCTTATTTTAGTATTTTCCTTATCATTGTATGCGTATATGCTATAGACGATATTTTAAGTATAAAACTGCATCAGCATCTGCAATGTCGTATGTATTACTGCCGATTAATTGAAGTAGCCATGACCTCTCTGAAATGCACTTTTTAGTGAAATTGTTTTATGAAAAACCCAGCAACAGTGCGAAAATACTTCAATAGTCCGACATCTTAACCATTCGATACACGGTCCAGAGGTTAGGAGTTTTATATCTAACACTTAAGCAATTAAGTAATCAGTCAGGGGTTTGTACAGAAACATACAACATCATAAGCATAATAGGAACATAAAATTTTTAATTATATAATGGAATATAATTAAACGCATGGATTAAAATAACTTAAAACCCGATGCAAACTAATTAATTTAATAACAAAAACAAGTACGTTTTACCAATACGTTTATTTTCGTTTTTGTTTACCTATTATTTATTTGATCTTCTATTGCCATTTTTCTGTTATAATTTTGTTTTACATTTATTAATTAGCTTTCATTACACGAGAAATTCGATATTATAAACAAGAAGTCTGGAAATTAAAAGAGAAATTAACGAAATTGGAGAAAATCCGAGAACAGCAATTCAGAAAAAGACGTAGTTTGAACGAAAGCCAAGAAGAATGCGAAATCTTGGTTGAGGAACAATGGAGATCAGAACACGGTACACACGAATCAACTGGAAATTATTGCATTAAAGTAATTCTATTATAATATATTTCTTAATCAATTTTTAATATCTATTTTTTCTGGTTAAATGAGCACTGCTTTAAATAAATATTTTAAGTATAGGTACACAATAAGCAATTAAAACATTTAACATCCTTAACTGGTCAGAGTTTGATGTATTTAAATAAGGTTTTAAATATAAAATTAGCTATCATCTCTTGAGAAGTTCGTCCGAAAAACTATTGGTTTAGTACAGGAAAATAGTCCAGGACACGGAGGTATTTTTTAATTCATTAATTATTGAAATAAAAAAGTAAAACGATATAATATCTTGTTTTATTTCAATCGAAATGATTTTTAGTTGGAGAAAAAGGACAAAAAGGTGAATCTGGACTGAAAGGAAACAAAGGAGATAAAGGTAAATAAAGAATTTCGCTTTTGCAACTCACATAAAATAACAAAAGTATTGACCCAAGTAATGTTTCTTTTTTTGTATAAATACTTCTTTGTAAGCTAAGTTTAAACAGTGACTTTGATATTAACAACTAAATTAAAAAAGTAATTTTCATTTTGAAAAATTTACTTTAAATTACCATAAATTTATAAAAAAAAATACTCGACAGAGTAAAATGAATAATAGTAGGATTAAAAATTTCAGCTTAGCATCGTGATCATATCACAATAAATAATTGCTGAATATTTTTTGTTATGCTCTTAAATTTAATTTATTATTACAACTATTTCTATATGAACGACCCTGTATATTTAAAATTATACATAAATTACTTCAATTAATTTCACTTTTACCTAAGATAACTATTAAAATAAAATACTCGTTTTGTATTAAATAATAACTTTACAAAATTTATGATAAAAGGTGAGAGAGGAAATCAAGGAATCCCGGGAAAAGAAGGCATTGGAGGAGAAAAAGGAACTGAAGGAATACCCGGAAAACACGGCGAACAAGGTCTAATTGGGCCACCGGGAATTCCAGGTCGAACGAATATATTAAAAAATTTATGATGAAAGGTGAGAGAGGAAATCAAGAAATCCCGGGAAAAGAAGGCATTGGAGGAGAAAAAGGAACTGAAGGAATACCCGGAAAACAAGGCGAACAAGGTCCAATTGGGCCACCGGGAGTTCCAGGTCTAACGGGTAAAGAAATTAAAACAATTAATATAAAAAATGGATATAGATACTTTTATTATACAGTATTGTCTATTCACGAAATAATGGTTTTATTAACCTTTTTTAAAAGCAAAGGGAAACGATGGCATTAAAGGTAAATGCTGTATTAACATACGAATCTCATAATTTTATATTGAAAAATTTAATGAACATATCTATTTTTCTACGTTTCATTTATGTTTGGTAAGGTGAAAAAGGAGAACCAGGATTTCCAGGAATTCCAGGTCTAAAGGGTAAATAAATTAAAGTAATTAATATAAAATTTAGATAGTTGCATTATATCGTTTATTCACAATGTCATGGTTACATATACGTTTTCCTGACGTGATGGCATACCAGGACGAAAGGGAGACGATGGAACACCTGGTATTAAAGGTAAATAGAAATATACGAATCCCATAATTTAATACCGGAAAATTAAATGAACATATCTTTCTACGTTTCATTTATGTTTGGTAAGGTGAAAAAGGAGAACCAGGATTTCCAGGAATTCCAGGTCTAAAGGGTAAATAAATTAAAGTAATTAATATAAAATATAGATAGTTTCATTATACTGTTTATTCACAATATCATGGTTACATATACGTTTTCCTGGACGTGATGGCATACCAGGACGAAGGGGAAACGATGGAACACCTGGTATTAAAGGTAAATCGAAATATACGAATTCCATAATTTTATATTGGAAAATGAAATGCACATATTTTTTAACATTTCATTTATATATAATTTTTTTTTATTATTTGTTGTAAGGTGAAAGAGAAAAACAAGGACTTCCAGGTTAAAAATAAGAAAATTAATGTAGCTATTTTTATTATATTGTCTATTTATAATACCATTGTTTTGTGAAGGTTTTCCTGGAATTGCTGGTATACCAGGTTTAAACGGAGATGATGGAATACCTGAAATTAAAGGTAAATTGATTAATTGGATACTTATGATTGTTCGTTGTAAAATAAGTTGCTTGTGTCTTTTAACATATTATTTTTTAAATGAAGATAATGTATACAATGATGATTCGGAAAAGCTAGTAGAAATCAACAAAGGAATAGTTGGGCTGACAGATCCAGTTCATAGGAATTTAAGAAAAAGATATATTAGAAAAATAAATGGATCAATAAAAAAGTAACAACAAGATTAGCTAAGGACTACTTTTCAGCATCATTCTTTGGGACTAAATAGAGGTTCCGACAAANACATATCTTTCAACGTTACGTTTATGTTTGGTAATGTGAAAAAAGGAAATCTAGGATTTCCAGGAATTCCGGGAATCGACGGTATTCAAGGAGAAAAAGGATCTGAAGGAATACCCGGAAAACACGGCGAACAAGGTCCAATTGGGCCACCGGGAGTTCCAGGTCTAACGGGTAAAGAAATTAAAACAATTAATATAAAAAATGGATATAGATACTTTTATTATACAGTATTGTCTGTTTACAATATCATGGTTTTATGAACGTTTCTAGGACCAAAGGGAAACGATGGCATTAAAGGTAAATACTGTATTAACATACAAATTTAATAATTTTATATTGAAAAATTAAATTAACATATCTTTTTACGTTTCATTTATGTTTGGTAAGGTGAAAAAGGAGAACTAGGATTTCCAGGAATTCCAGGTCAAAAGGGTAAATAAATTAAAGTAATTAATATAAAACATAGATAGTTTCATTATATTGTCTATTCACAAAATAATGGTTTTATGAACGTTATCCTGGAGCAAAGGGAGACGATAGCATTAAAGATATATACTGTAGTAACATACGAATTTCATAATTTTATATTATAAAATTAATCGAACATATCTTTCAACGTTTTATTTATATTGGTAATGTGAAAAAGGAGAATCAGGATTTCCAGGTGTACCGGGTATATAAATTAAAATAATTGATGTAGTTAATTTTGTTACGAGGGTAATTTTAAAATGATGTTTCGTACTATTTAGAAAATACAAAGAAACGCCCTTTTTCAATAATGTTTACATCGTCTTATAGCTTAATCATTTATGTATTTATCTACATAATGGCCATTTCGTTCGATGCACTTTTGTATGCTCTGTGGCAATATTTGTATGCCCATTCTTACAGTCTTGCTGCCAATTTATGGACTCGTCTTACGCACATTTTTCGATATTGCGACTTTTCCTTTAAAATCCTATAAACGGTGCTTCGAGAACCTCTAGAAACTAAAATGCGAAGATCATTCAGAGTTATTCGCTGTTTTTCACTCATGGTTTGCTCAACCGTCATGACTCTCACCTTGAAAATTGACACACCCTCTTCTTTCTTCGTCGTGAAGGTCTCAGTACGATCACTGCAAACTCTCTACACCACTTTCAAAATTTCTGACATCCATGCACCACTCGTCATACACTTCCACCAATTAACGATAAATTTCAATCGAATTGACATGACAAAGCGGCGACTTGGTATTACATGGGCCTACAAAAACTGTTACAGCGCCTACAAAGATGCATTGATCGAAGTGGCGATTATGTAAAAAAATAGATAAAGGTACAAGTTTTAAAATTTCGTAAACGTTATTAAAAATAAAAGTTTTTTTGTATTTTTTAAAAAAACAGGAGAATTTACTTTTAAGATTATTCTCGTATATTTTTATTCACAATATCATGGTTACATATACGTTTTCCAGGAGGTGCTGGCATACCAGGACGATGGGGAAACGATGGATCACCTGGTATTAAAGGTAAATAGAAATATACGAATCCCATAATTTAATACCGGAAAATTAAATGAACATATCTTTCAACGTTTCATTTATATTTGGTAAGGTGAAAAAGGAGAACCAGGATTTCCAGGAATTTCAGGAAACGACGGTATTAAAGGAGAAAAAGGATCTGAAGGAATACCCGGAAAACACGGCGAACAAGGTCCAATTGGGCCACAGGGAGTTCCAGGTCTACCGGGTAAATAAATTTAATTAATTAATATAAAATATAGATAGTTTCATTAAATTGTCTGTTCACAATATCATGGTTTTATGAACGTTTTCTAGGACCAAAGGGAAACGATGGCATTAAAGGTAAATACTGTATTAACATACGAATTTCATAATTTTATATTGAGAAATTGAATGAACATATCTATTTTTCTACGTTTCATTTATGTTTGGTGAGGTGAAAAAGGAGAACCAGGATTTCCAGGAATTCCAGGTCAAAAGGGTAAATAAATTAATTAATATAAAATATAGATAGTTTCATTAAATTGTCTGTTCACAATATCATGGTTTTATGAACGTTTCCTGGATCAAAAAGAAACGATGGCATTAAAGATTAATATCTTTTAACGTTACGTTTATGTTTGGTAATGTGAAAAAAGGAAATCTAGGATTTCCAGGAATTCCGGGAATCGACGGTATTCAAGGAGAAAAAGGATCTGAAGGAATACCCGGAAAACACGGCGAACAAGGTAAAATTGGGCCACCGGGATTTCCAGGTCTAACGGGTAAATAAATTAAAATAATTAATATAAAATATAGATAGTTTCATTATACTGTTTATTCACAATATCATGGTTACATATACGTTTTCCTGGACGTGATGGCATACTAGGACGAAAGGGAGACGATGGAACACCTGGTATTAAAGGTAAATAGAAATATACGAATCCCATAATTTTATATTGGGAAATGAAATGCACATATCTTTTCATTTCATTTCATTTATATATATTTCATTTCAACATTTTATTTATATATATTTTCTTTAATATTTGTTGTAAGGTGAAAGAGGAAAACAAGGACTTCCAGGTTGAAAATAAGAAAATTAATGTAGCTATTTTTATTATATTGTCTATAATACCATGGTTTTTGTGAAGGTTTTCCTGGAATTGCTGGTATACCAGGATTAAACGGAGATGATGGAATACCTGGTATTAAAGGTAAATTAGATTAATTGGATTCTCATGATTGTTCGTTGTAAAATAAGTTGCTTGTGTCTTTTAACATATTATTTTTCAAATGAAAATAATGTATACAATAATGATTCGGAAAAGTTAGTAGAAATCAACAAAGGAATAGTTGGGCTGACAGATCCAGTTTATAGGAATTTAAGAAATATATATATTAGAAAAATAAAATGGATCATTAAGAAAGTAACAACAAGAATAGCTAAGGCCGATTTTTCAGCATCATTCTTTGTGACTAAACAGAGGTTCCGACAAAGATGAAAGAGGCTCTAAAAAAAGGCAAAACTTTGTCCCGGAAAATTCAAATTTTTGGGAAACCTCGATTCAAGAAATTGAAAGAAGAATCGCTGGACTACATTCATTAGAAAAAGAATACGTCAGATGAAAAATTGTCATTAAAGGCCATGAGGTTAAAGGAAAGGAAACAGCACAAACATGGACATTAAACTAACAAAACATTATCTAAGGGAAAACGTTTTGGTTGCAACAAGGGCAGGCAAAAGCAAGACGTTGGCAAACATCAGAAGACAGACTTATAACAAATTTTGCTTTGGCGGATTACATTTAAAAAAACAGAGTGCGAACGGGTTGATACAAAAACTATCGAGAACATCGATAAAAGAGTGAAGAAACTTAAAAGTACAAGACTCACTACTTACTGTGTTACCTTTCCTTAAAAATTGTCAGGAGTCCAAGGCATGGAATGCCTAGATTATTTGCGTTAGCCAAAACCCACAAGGAAGGTAAAGATTTAAATCTTACAGTAGAAAAGTGCAGAAGATCAAATTTTATGTTGTAAAAACGGTTACATAAATGTTTCACCTCTCAGCTCGAGTACAGTCAATTAGTGGCACAGTATCCCGGAGTTGTGGTTAAAGAGATTCAAAATCTAATGTTAATTTACGATGAGATAGAGACCGAATTAAACTATAAAAGCTTATATCCTATTAAAACGAATCTTGCATGGAAGCATTTTTAGAATTTATGCTCAGCAAGAACCCGGATTTGGTTCATTACAATGAGGTGATAGAGCTGGCTAGTCTGGTATGTTATGAATCATATTTTACATTTAATGTCTAGCCATACAGGCAAAAAGGAGAAGTCCCAATGGGAAGTTTGGTATCAGGATATTATGTGAACTGGTGGTAAAAAAAAAAAACTAGAAGAAAGTGTTCTTTGTGATTTCAAGAAGGATATACTATATTTTATAAGATATAGAAGAAATAAAGAAACTGTAAAATAATTTTTAAATGTTAAGAATGAAAAATAGTCAGTGTTCAATGTTGTATTTTGACATTTAATACAATAAGTTGATATTCAACTTATTGGCAATTTATTGTTGTATTTTGAATTTTTTCCACATTTTTAAACTTGACTAGTTTTTTTCTTTTATGTACTGTATTTATAATTTAATCTATATTTCAGAAGCGTTTGCTAAGAAATTAATTGACAAAAAGTAAGAACTAATAGAGGCGCAAACTTCTGTGAAACAGAGGTACGCCATAAGGATTATAAATTTTCGTGTCGGGTCGATATTTGGGTCAATAGCTAATTACAACTTACAGGAGTTGGGCCAACTTTAGGCACGAAAAAGTAGGTCTATCTAACTACTGAGCTTTGAGTTTAGACTTTTGTCAGTGTGTCTTGGTTGTTGCAGTACACTGTTTGTTATTTAACTGGCTAGAGGTTCAACCGTCTAATTTAGAAATGATCATTGACTGGTTGATCGGAAAGCCAATGTGTCCTCAAAACCAATAATCAACGCATTCCTCAAGTTTCGTCCTCAGTACCTTAATTCTGATCTCTGGTACCAACCTATATTTGTGATACCTGTCGCTCAAACCTGAAGTGACAATGACGGTGAGAGTAAACCGTTACCGGCTCCAGATCCGGATGTTGTAGGATCTACTGGGACACCCCCCGAACAGGCCACCAGTACTTCGTGGAAAACGACATCTTCGTTCAATTTGGTTAATCACTATACATTAAAAGTATATCAGAAAAAACGCAGCACGTGGAACCTACTTGGCATCCATCGTTGTAAATCTGGACACTTTTAAATCTCAGTTTCACCATCATCCGAATTCAGCCCAATCCTTTAGCTCTAACGAATATCTCCTATTGACAACCCACTTTAACGTCTGGCTACATATACTCAGAGTGCTTAGCCGCTATACCCTCCACTGTTGTCCAGTAGAAGATTGCTTCCTGGTGTTAGATTAGGCAAAATATGATAGTTACCCAAAACCTAATCTCCTTTCGCTTTATACATTTAATTACATCAAAATGATGTATTGTCGTAATTGTACAAAAAGCTTTCAACCATTTCATTTAATTTAAAAATTTCAAAAATTGGGACAGTATTTTATATCTGGAAGTATTAGAATTTCATTGTCTGGTGTCTTCAATTAACACTACATTTTGGTTCAATAGCACTAACTGTATATTTAATTTATTTACTTAGTGCTACGTGTACAGTTTTATGTAGTTTATACATATTAAAAAATTGATTTGTTACAGGAGAAAAGGGACAGAAAGGAGAGCGAGGCGATTTTGAACGACCGATAGAAAACGTTCCATTAAAAGGTAATAAATTAGTAAGAATTTGTTTTGAGGGTAGGGATGAATTTTATAAAAGGAATTGTAAATTGTCGAGTAAAATCGTCATTAAGTCGGATCCTACTGAAGATACATACAACCTCCATCATGTCCCATGCATACAGAAATTACTCCAAACTTTTTTCACTTCTCGACATTGCAAGGTGTCTTAAGTCTAAAAATGTAAAACGTTGAGGTTAATTTTTGACCGATTCTCAAACTCTCCCTCTGATATACCGTATATAACAGCCGGGAATGTAATGAAAAGGGAAAGTATATGAATGTTGCGAAATTTTACTTTCAGAATATTTTTTATACATCAGCCTGTTCAATTGTTTTACAATATTACATACAAAGTTATTTAACATTTTACATAGCGATAATGGGTTTGCTTTATAATTCTACTACTTATAGTAGTATATAGAAATGCTTTATGTTCACTAACAAAAATCCATTGTGAACTAGTCTAACGTTGCTTATAAAACGTAACGTTAAGCGTCACAAGTGTGTTTTTCTCAGATAGTTTGTAACGATAGTATTATAAAAATTCGAATTACAATATATATTACATAAATGACATTTTTTATTTTCAGATTGTGTATTTGAGAAAATTGAAAATCTATAAACTTTTCAAATACCAGAGGATTTTAGGGGTAAACCTTTCTTTTTAATGATGGATCCACTTCAAGAGGAAACCGAAAAGGAATTTACTATTTTCTTAAGAGATTTTTCTACAAATTATAACAATGTCACAGAATATAGATTTAATACAAAAAACGAATATGAATTTCTCAAGAATTATACTTTAAATGAAAATATTGGCTTTTTCGGCACTGTTTACAATAGAAGCTATTTCAGTCGACATAAACAAGAAAGAAAATTTGCGAAATACAATTTCGAGACAAACGAATTGACGTCAGGAAATGTGACTCCTGACTTATTTCAAACAAGTCTATTTTTGTCTTTTGTATTGTTTTTTCCAGAGGAGAATTATCTTTGGGCAATGTACGAAACAAATTATTCTGATTCAAAAATATATTATCATCTGTTAAAAATTGATCCACGGAGTTTAGAAATTGTCTTCAGCAAGTCTGTAAATTTTCACGAATGTAGAACAGAAAATATATTGATTACATTTGGCAGGATTTACTGCGTCGACATCAAGGAGCAGAAAATTGATTTATTGCAGGATATATACGAAAGGAAAAATCGAAAAATTACATTAAATTTACCTACAACTAATTTGGATTTAAAACGTAATATTGTCTTTTATAATTACAGAAGTCGACATCTCTATGTATATGACCAGTTTATATTTAAGAGATACAAACTCCATTGTTCTAAAGAAGATTAATAATTGAAATTATTTGTAATATACGAAACGAATAATAAATACTCAAAATAGTAAACCGAATCTCATTGAATATGAAGCGTAGATTGAACAGTAAAACGTTTTCGGGTATTATGTGGTACAGTGAGAAGTATTTGGCATCAGTGAGGTTAAATATAATAATAATAAATGAAACGTAAGATACATAAAGTAACACATATTTCCGAGTAAAGCCGGATTTGTTACAAGAAAAAGACAATTAACCAGCAACGAGTTGCTTAACTTTTCCGGCATCATTTAAAATTTTGGTGGCATCATTTGTTATCATATTTTATAAAGAAAACTTTTTATATTTTTAACTTATAAAATGGAAAAAAGCTTAATTTTGAAAGTAGGAATTTGTTTTATAAAAAAAATTATAAATGCTAATAACGAGTAAAATCGTCATTAAGTCCGACCCTACTAAAGATACATTCATCACCCATTATTTGCCTACTTCCTCGACCTTTAAACAGAAAAAAATTTAATAGCGTTAATTCCACTAACGAACAAACCTCCCTGCGAAATTTCAGAAATTAATGACAAAAAGCGGTAGGAGTTATTAAGCTTCAAACAGGGTGAACAAAATGAAGGCTTTATCTGTCTTAAAATTTTTTCCTTGCTTAAAAACTCTAAATAATTAAATAAAAATGACTAATGTAATTATCTATGCCCAAGTTTTACCTCTACACAAAAAACTTTGTAGATTATAATGTAAATACAAGCTTACATGTTACTAAATAATTATTAAATATTTTGTTTTAACTGTTTTGGGGGGGGCGCTTCCGACGTTCGTCAGTGTTGGTGAGTTTTTGAGTGAGCTGTTTTTTATTGAATTATAGTGCTTTGGATATGTTTGCTTCTACAAAATGTTTGGTTTTTCATCTTGGTTTCATTAAAGATTTTGATGTATATTTATTATTACGTGCTTTATTGGTAATTGGAGGTATTGAATNTTAATATACATTTTAAAAGTACAATTATTTCCTTATAATATTTGTATTTTACAATATAGTCTAAACCAAGTAAAAATAAAGGATGTTTAGACATTTCAATTTGAACTTTTACACAAAGATATAAAAATTTGTTGTTTAAACATTAAATAGAACTTTTGAAATAATGAAAATATAAAATAAACTTATATTAAATACAAATACGTTTAATATTACAGTAAAACTTCATATGAAATTATTTATAGTACATTTGATTACATTCGATTCTGATGTAGCGCTGGGTATTTTCTGATTTTCAATGTCAAATTATTAATTTTGTTTAAAATTGTAAAAATTGCAATAAATTCTTCAGTAGTTATTGCATCGAAAATAAAAATATTATTGTGGATTGATGAGGAAAGGCAATACAACACATGCACCATCTACAAATGTGAAATATTTCTCAGGAGGACTTTTAAATACTCCTCCTGAGAAATACTTTAACTGAGAAACTCAGCTAAAGTATTACTCAGTTTCTCTGCTAAACTGAGGTGTTACAATATAAAAAAACCACAAAAAACTTTACGTAGCCATTCCATTGGTCAGGACGAACCGCGATAACCTTTCAAGTTACAGAACAAAATTAATAAAAATAGTACATACTCTTTAATTTATCAAAATTAACTACTTAGTTTTTAAAGAAATAAATTACATGTTTTTTTCTCATACAAGCTCCCTTTTTTTACAAAATTCTTTATGAATTATAATTAAAAAAATCCAGCAACGTGTTGCTTAACTTTCACGGTAACATTAAGTGGCGTGAAAGTTATGATATTTTATTAAGAAAAACTTTTTATATTTTTAACTATTATAAAATGAAAACAGCTTTATTTTCAGTGTAGGGATGGGTTTTATAAAAAATACTATAAGGGCTAATAACGAGTAAAATCGTCATTAAGTCTGACCCCACTGCAGATACACACTTTCCCTTTATCTCTTCATTCCTTTGACTTTTAATCTGAAAAAGCACAGGAGTTCGTAAGCTTTAAAGAGGGTGAACAAAATCGTACTCCACACACACTCTAACGTCCGTACATACAGAAAAACCCTGGAATATTTTTTGAATTTTTCGACGTTTTGAAGTCCCCTAAGTCCAAAAGGATGGGTTACGTTTAACCAATCGCCATATTTTCCCTCTTTTATATATAACTGCAGGGAAAGTAAAAACGTTTATAATAGTAAGTGTGTAAACGCCTTCATACACTAAGTTATAATAGTATACACGTAGTTTACACGAAGTATTGCAATTTTATATTTTGTATTACGAAACTTTTCTAGATATTTATTATTCTGTTTTGCACATATATATTTAACCACATTTGTAATAAGTATATGCGATTTAAATTTACATTATTTTTCTCAGTGTGGTAACCCCTAAACTGATGATGTCAATCAGTCAAGTACAGCGTGTTTAATAACAGCTTAACGATACGAAATACCAATGAACAGAGTATTATAAAATTGGATATTGTCTTTAATGCTTAATATTTCATAAAGCCAGTTTCTAATTTCTATTAGGAACTCACCTATATCTAATTAGGAATTCCTAAACCTTTCTAATTACCAAAGTTTACTAAAATAAGCTTAATTACGAAGTAAGAAACATTTATCCAAACCTTTATATTATTATCTCTGTCCAGATGAAAAACCCATTTATAATTTGTTATTAAGTGATTACATCTTAACCCTGTTAGCCTCTAATAACTTAATGTTGCGTAATTACTGTAAAATTATACATAGGCTCAGTATAATTTTAACGAAATTCCGCAACAGTAAATTACAAAACTAGTATTGTTTATCTTGTATGTGAGTAATTTAAGTACATGAATCACATTTTATCTCTTTGAAACAAATTTTATATTATAAATTCAATCGTTATTTATATAAACAAGGATATTAAACAATTATTTCGTTAACATATTTACGAATTTATTATTATACGATATTTGTAAACTTATACAAATCTTACGAAAGGATATGTTACGAAATTATATAGAATTACTACCCCAAATTGCTATAAAAGCGAAGCAGTGTGATTTATATTCCATACGCTTTACAGCAGAAAGATGGAGTTCAAGTTCTTACATCTCCTTTTCGGTAAATATATTTAACAATATTGTGTATAATTATATGTATTTTATCAAACATTTATTTCATATTTTTTATTGTAGTCGTATCCTGTATTCATGTTACAACCTGCGAATATGATAACGATTCGACTATAGTAGACATATATGTAAGTAGTTAATTGTCTTTGTTTCTAGCTCTACCCGTTACCTATTCACATTTCTTCATTCTGCTTGTTTATCTATCTAATTTTCCATTCTTTTATATAAAAAATACACATTTTTATTATCATTTAAATTGATCAGTTTTATATTCTTTGTTAGGACACGACCGAGGAAACAACCGATGATTTCTATACAACTGAGAGCGGAGATGAAATTATAGAACGTATGAAACAATTCGAATCAATTCTAAATTTGTTGAGATATCCAGCGATTGTTCTTCAGGATGCCTTTCAGACCATGTTCTTCAAAACAGGTGACTTGAAACCAACAGTAATCTTAGATTCTCTAGTGTCAAGAATTTTACCTTTATTAGAAAATGAAGACAAAGAAGTATTATTCACTCTCTTTACTTTCATAAAAGACTATTTAACAAGAGAACTTTCCTTCGACGATCTCCTGATATATTATAATGAAATCGAACCCGCATTGAAACACAAATTTGATATACTTATCATAGCATTACAGGATTTGAATGCAGAGCTATTGAAGTACAACGCCATGGATATAACCCCTGAAATTAGAGCAATTCTTCAAATACAGCAAAAGATCTATAGTAGAATGTTCTACATAGATTTTTCTCAGAATAAAAAATAAATATAATTCGCACCATACTGATTTGAAAATTTTCAGACTTAATTTAACAATCATTTTAAATATTCAAGATTAATTATAACGATGTTCAACCTCACCGATGCTATCGGAAGTATAGAAAATTATGATTGTCTTTTACATTGTATTATACTTTTAATCAAATAAATTTATTGCATTGAATTATTTGTCTCTATTATTAATAAATACCAATACGAATTTAGGAGATGTTTAAGCATGAACTATAAAAACCAATTAACCATGAACGTCTCCCATAGATTTACTACAGGGATGCGGAATTTCGCGAGATTATTTATTGTTTGAGGAAGGAAACAAAGACTTCATTCGTCAGAGTAGAAGACGCGTACTGAGAAGTCCTTTTTCTTCAATTTAATCGATTAATACATGTTTTACAAGCACTTCGCAAGAGAAAAGTGATGAAGTCAGTACTTGATATCAAGTAGTCCATAGTTTAAAGGCAACATTAAATTCCTGTAACTCTTCGAACGAGATTGAGGAACCGCTAATCTTGTGTGTTGCGTATTTGAATACTTAAAAGATGCCATTCAGCTCACACATAATTTTACTTTCTACTTAGCGCCATAAAGGAACACTCAGAATAAAGTATTTAGATAAATAAACGTATTCAGTGCTCATTAAAATATACTTTACGTATAAAATTTCGTGAATTGTAATTGCAAAATATTATAACAATAAAAAAAAATTAGCAAAGAATTGCTTCTCGGCAACATTTAAAACTGCGTGTAGGACTATCTGTTATGATATTTTATTAACCCCTTTTTGCCTACTTTTTTAAAAATCTTTAATTAAACATAAAAAATACTTAAAACTGAAAAAAACGAAAAAATGCGTTAATTTTGAAGAAAAAGCTTCAAAGCATAACTTCCTTTGTCTGTCCTTTCCGCGAAATATGACACTGATGAGTCATTGTTTACATAGCTGGATGACCTTGAAAACATCTGGTGTTGGATTTCCCGAGGCATTCTCATAGACGTCTCAGGAGGACAAGGGTTTAAAGTAGGGTGATTACTAGCTGGCCGTATATTTTTAAATATTTTTTAAAAATTAAAATTTTAATTGCGATTTCCGACCTTCCCTCGATTTAATTAAACTTATATATAATGAAATATATTAATTAAAAGAATTAAAAAAACTATTGGAGGTCGTTTTTGATATCAGAAAGTAGCTTTAAATAACTTTACCAAAGTTAACCCTTAACTGGTTTTATGGGGGCCGCGCGGCCCCCACGTGTCATATTTTTACAATTTTCTAAAAATCTAAATATCGTGCGCAGCTGCCATTTTATGTAATCTCATTACGTCGTGACTCTTAGCTAGTGCCAAATGTTCGGCCCTGTAGCACTTACAAGGATGGAGCTACGTACCTTCTGGGGGCCGCGCAGCCCCCACGATACCAGTTACGTTGGTTTTTTGTGGAAATGTGTTTTTATATTTTTTTTATTTTTACAATTATTTAGCAAAGATATCTCAATCTTTCATCAAAAATTCAAAATGACTACCAAAGAATCATTTGAACTGCTAATAGAAGATAATATTATACAAATTGCTAGATCAAGCCGAAATCTCCTGAAAAGAGTATGTTGTCATTTTGTGCTGGAAAAAAAGATGGTAAATATGCTACTAAGTGCAACAGTTGTTTGAAATTTATTTGCAAAGTGCATAGTACTACAAAAATACTATGTGATAACTGTCAAGACTGAACTACGTAATTGCGTTAAAATGATCCTGAGTGTTAAAAATAGAAGTGATTATATTATCTGTGGTTTTTTAACAAATGATAGTTAGAGGCTATAAGAGATACTTTTTTATAAGATTAGTTTCTTAAGAATAAGAAAACAAAATATCTTTGGTAAAAACTTACAATAGGGTAGATTTTTGTATTGTTAAAAAAAGCATACACCAAAAGTTGTAACAATTTTGTGATTTCTTGTAATAATTAAGTAAAGAAAATTATATAAATAAATAAAAGTTGATTATACTAAAGAAGGGTTCCATTTAGCATTTATGCTCTTTTAAACTGTCACATTGTTAAACTTGCTCTCTAAAGGCAAATTTTGCTTGGGGGCTGCGCAGCCCCCATGATACCAGTTATGATTGTAAAATTTACGAAACCAGTTAAGGGTTAAATCCGTGCACTACAACTTTAAAACGATTAATTAGATTTGATAAAAAATCCTATAAATAAACAATTAAGTGTTAATCATGCGTCATTAAAGGTAAATTAAAATCGCGATAAAATTTTTTCGCGCGAAAAAAAATTTTTGTAAAAAATTTGGAGACTTAAAAACATTTCAAAAATCAAAAAAAAATTCCAGGATGGCCTACAAGGCCGGTTTTTCCTAACGCTATGGGACCTGCTCGAGAAAGTCTCGAAAGTGGTGCAGAAGGCGACGTTTTATAATTTTTAACTATTATAAAATGGCAAAAAAAGTAATTTTGAGGATAAGGATGAGTTTTATTTTTTATAAAAGATGTAATTGATAATAATAAGTAAAATTATCATTAAGTTCGACTCTACTCGATTTATGACACACGACCTGTATCTTTCCATTTTTTTGAACTTTCTTTAACAGCATCATTCTTTTTATTACACAAACCTTCCCGCAAAATTTCAGAAATTTTCGGCAAAAAAAAAAACAGAAATTATTAACTGGATAAAACCACTGAACGCTGTTATTTAGTAACAGGTTCTGAAAATTTTATTCGTTACCAACATTTACACTGTTTCATAAAACTCATCTCTACCCTCAAAAGTAAGCATTTTTGCATTTTTAACAATAAAAAATATAAATCTTTTTTATAACAAAATCTGATAACAGATGGCACCACATACAATTTTATTCATTTATTTATATAAATATAAAAGTTTTTGTCAATAAAGACTCAACAGCCGGGAAAGTCATGCAACTCTCTTTGCTAAATTCATTTTTTTTAAATAAAAGTCTGAGATCGTCTGTCATACATCTTTTCCCACTCACAGACCACTAAGAGAATGATATGAAAAAATGAATGATATGAAAAACAAGCTCGTTAATTCGTAACATTACTGCTTTTCAAACGCTGTGGAGAAAATTAAGAAACAGCAATGCGTAAATCACTAATGAATGACTCTAGTAATTTTGAATACGTATAATTTGGGAAAATAGGGATATGTTAACCTATTCTGGTGATAAATTGACAAAAGAGTGCCTACTGGGAGAGGCAGGTTTAGAGGTATAGAGGAAATTCGAAAACTCCATACAACCAGTCCGTTGATCGTGCTGGAAAGTTGACCAGTTACCAGTACAGTAGAGAAATAGGCTAACGTACTGGTAAGACATTAAAGAAAAACAAATTGTTAAATAATAGGAACGCGCTGTGAATGAACAGTAATAAGGGAAACTGGAGCCAACCACTACCATAGACTTGGACAATAAGAGTTCATACGATAACGGACAGAGATATTATTTGATGACTTTATAAACTATTTATCCTGCTTATATTAAGTTACTTATATACGACGATTCCATTTTATAACTAACGTATAGAAGAGAGGAGGGTATTATGGAATAGTCGGGTAATATGGAATACCGAGGTTTCGGCTCTGTTTGTTGCTGCTATTACGTAAGAATACCATGAACTAATCTAGAAAGACTCCCACGATGCAGTGCAATGAGAGTTGACGTCTTGTTGTGGTCCTATCACTCGCTACAGAACAAAGTGTGTTTTGTGATTTTCAAGAGTTTTTGCAGGCAAATTTTCAAACATTTTAACCTACTAGTACACACGTGACTCGAACATTGATGTTAAGCATAATGTACACTAAAAGAATTGTAGTTTGTTATACTGTAGTCATTTTTTAGCTGACAATGATTTGTCCATCACTTTAAAGGTTCATTTTCCAAGATGGCGTGTCGGGTATTATGGAATACTAGGATAAATGGATAAACTGAAAGAAAAGGACAGAAAGAAGGAACCAGAAGCTTCAAAACAACAAAAGAAATCGAACATTCAAAGTCCACCTGCTAAGAAATTAAACTTAGACCGACTTTCTAGACCGAAACCTACTATAGATGATTCCAGTGTTAGCTGCGATGAATCGTTCCATTCTGATGTATCACCCGTAATGGACTTCGTACCATCAACTAAAGTACCAGAAAATGAAGACGCTGAATGTATCTTCTGTAACGGAAAATTCTCTGAAGACGAAAGAAGGAAAATCTGGATTCAATGCTTCAGCTGTTTTCTGTGGGCTCACCTTAATTGTACCGGAGCAGAGAAAGAAAATTATATTTGTTACTTTTGTAAATGGACTCGAAGCAGAACGACATACACATAATCTTAAAAATATGGTTTTTATAGTTAAAAATAACTATGTTTTATGAAGTCTAATTAGTTTTTCAATGGTTTAAATCACCTATTCTATATTACCCTCCATATGTGACTTTTTTAAATAAATTTTTTTTTATGACAACAAAATAAATAGTATTTTTTTTATAAGTGACAGTTCATTACAATTAGTTATAGCATGTACTCATAAAGATTTTGAAATTTTTATTAAAAAACCAGTAAAGTTATTTTTAGAAATGTAAATGGTATTCCATAATAACCTCCTCTCCTCTTCTACCCGAAAATCGGCACCAATTAATATATGAATTGCCTATAAATTTTCGAAAGTGAAATTAACTATAAACTTTTATTTGTGTACATAATTACATGAAAGGTAATAGTCACTACAGTATACTAAGTTTTATCCATGTATACTTTATGGTACACGGTATTTTTGGCTTTGGTTTATTTGATTTGCATGAACTAAGATTTTATACAATGCCACAAAAAATAGTGATATTATTTTTAATTTTGTTTGGCCTTACGCTGCTTCAGAAAGTACTACGCTTACTAAAAAAAGAAATCATTACATTTCTATACAACAATATTTAGATTAGAAGCTTAAGTACAATTTTATAAAAGTTTTGGAACAGTAAATCACAAATCTGCTATTGTTTCATTTGTATGAGAATAATTTAAATAAATATAACACCACATTTTTCTTGTCAACAGAATTCTATATTGTTATTTACAATTGATAAAGCAATACGTGTAATTAAATAATATATTTCATAACATAATAAAACATATAGATTATTTATAAATAAAATTACAAAACTTATTATATATTTTGATAAACAAGGATATTGAACGCTTATTTTGTTAATTACATTATATTTGTAAACTTATATAAATCTTACACAAGCATGTTTTTCGAAATTATATTCAATTACTATCCAAATTGTTATAAAAGGCAAGCAGTTTGGCTTATATTCCATACATTTTACAGCAGAAGGATGGAGTTCAAGCTCTTACATCTAGTTCTTGGTAAATATATAGTAAAATATTTTATGTAATTTTGTGTATTTATCAAATTTCTATTAGGGTAAACCAGGGAAGATGGTGAATACTTGTAACTACCGTATAATGTAATTACAAGTAGCACCATGTATTAATATATTGTGTTAGTTAAAAGCATGCTTGCTGTGTGCTGTTTACCCGCAATTACTATTAACAGTAAGTGAGAAAATCAAATGTTTATGTTTCTGCCTTGCAGAATGTTTCACCCATGCTTTTGTTTAGTATAGCCTCGAAAATCCTAAGTTAAAATTAGGGAATGACTTTTGTTTTTTGAATATAATAGTTCAGAAGCTTAAAAATACGTCTAACTTGCAATCGTTCTTCTGTTGTTTGGTATGATAAGAGAACACCAGTTCATTCAGATTTTTTATAATAAAATTTTTTTCAGTCACAATTTTCACAACTTTTTCCATCATCACTTATGCTATGTGTTTTTTATTACAGTCGTATCCTGTATCCATGTTATAAGCTGCTCAAATAAGGACACTCCGGCTCTAACAAAGATTCTTGTAAGCAGTTACTTTTACTTTTTTGTTCTTAGCTTTTTCCATGTTCTATACAAAGTCACTACTTTTCATCAGCGATCTGTACTCCTCCTCTCCTATCAAACCTCTTATCTTTCGGCTCAATACAGCCCTTCTAAATTTGCCTAACGACTTTCTTCTGCCTTCACTCCAGTGTACTTTACAACATTTACTGCATAGTTGTTATTTCTGCTTACTAAATGACCTTACCTCATTTGCATCCTTTTTATAATTATTCTTTATGTATTATCCCTCCTATCGCACTGTACAGTCTAAACTTTTTCTTCAAATTTCTCCATCCTGCCAATTGTTTATTTAATTTCAGCTACCAAATTCTTCGTCCTTATATAAAAGAAATAAATAATACAAATTTATACCGTAATTATTATTTGAACTGATCAACAAAGTTTTATATTTTTTTGCTAGATACAACCTAATACGACAGAAAATCCCTCTATTCCAACAACCAAGAATTTCCAAACAATTTCGAGCGATGAAAAACTTGTGGAACAAGTGGTATCAATTCGACGTTTGTTGAGATATCCATCGATTGTTCTTCAGGACGCCTTTCAAACCATGTTCTTGAAAACTGGTGACTTGAGACCATCACTGATGTTAAAATATCTCCAGCAAACGATTTTACCGCTGTTACAGAATGAAAACAAAGACGAACTATTTACTCTGTTAAGGCTCATAAAAGACTATTTTACAGGAGAACTTTCCTCATATGAAGTCTTATTGTATTATAGGAAATTCGAATCCTTATTAGAAAATAAATTTGATATGCTTGTTTTAGCATTACAAGATTTGAACACAGGGCTAAGTCGGTACAAAGAAATGGAAATAACCCCTGAAATTAGAAAACTTCTTCAGATGCAACAAGTTCTCTATGGTGAAATGGTCGAGATGTTTGCTAGTTTTAATGACGATGACGATTATGACGATGATGATGATGACGACGACGACGATGACGATGACGACGATGATAATAATGCCGTTTGAAATGTAATTTAGGTTATACTGATTTGAAAATTGTAGAAACAATATAAAAATCTTTATAAGTATTCAGGATTAATTATAATAATAATATTGAATCTTTCTGATTCTATCAAGAGGATAGGAAATTATAATTGTTTCTTACTTTGTACTATACTTTTATTCAAATAAATTTATCGCATTGACATATATACTTAGGCCTATATTATTTATTTGTATTATTACGCTTCATACTGCCTAATATCCTGTATATTCAATCAGATCCGGTTTTCTCTCGGTCATTGTTTTTTAGCTTAGATTAGAGAATGTGTACCTTTTCATTTCTATTATTTTCTTTCCATAATCCTTCATACTGTAAGATAACAGAAGAGAACCCGGCATGAGCTTTCCACACTTCAACTGAATCCGCATTCAAAGCTTTGCTTTAGAGTCCTACTATTCTTAAAACATAAGAATTAATTAGAAATCAGAGAAAGAAGAACTTCATAATGTTATATAATAAATTTAAGAATGCACCGATAAGCTAAATGGCCGATTACCGATTACCGATTAATCGGCCATGCATTATAGGCCGATACCGATTAATCGGCAGATTGGTGTTTATAATTCATTGCATTAATAGTGTGGGATCCTGGAGTTAATTATACAGTTAATTATAATGTGGAAAAAAAACATTTTTCTTAAACTGGTATTTTCGTGTCCCTCGGGTCAGGTAAACAAGAGACGATCGAATATCCTTGCAAAATCTACAATCTCGTTTTTTGTTTGAGAAAGTTTCTAAAATAAATCTCAACACGCACGTAAACTTCGACATTGTATAAAAAGCTGAAGTATTTCTTTGTTTAACAGAAACAAAATACATTTCTTTAACCGCTAATATTTGGACAACAACTACAAACAATTCTTCTTTTTTAAGTGTAACAGCCAACTGGTTGCAGGATGATTTTCAGCAGGAAAGAGTTGTTTTGCTAATTGTTCCCTTTGAAGGTTCCCACACAGCTAAACGAATCAGTGAACAGATAAAAATTGTTCTTGCACAGTATAAGTTGACAAGTGATAAGATATTCTTAGTACTGAAAGATTCTGCAGCAAATATGGTAACTGGAATTAGGAATCGCAACTTAGAAGCATTATCGTGCTTTATACGTACACTGTAGCTGACACTAAACGAATGCATATTTTCTGAACAAGATGTGAAAACTATAATCACAGTTAATAGAAATATTGTCACAGATTTTAATTCTTCTGCTGTAGCTGTAAGCAAATTAGTAGATTTGCAGAAAAACTTATGTTTGAAGGAACGCAAATTAATTCAAGATATTCCTACTCGCTGGAATTCTACATACTACATGTCGGAACAGCAAAATTCTTCTCACAGGTGCTATAGATAATAAAATTCTTACGTTGAGCCCATATCAGTAGTCTCTCGTTGAAAAAGTGTAGTACTTTTAAAACCATTCAAACAAACAACTTCATCTTCAAGAATTCCCACAATAGAGACTCTGAAATTATTCTTATCAAAAGCAAAGATCCATAGTTCCTTCAGTGGCATTAATACCACAATAGAAAAATTAGAAAATCCAATAAAAAAACAAAAAAAAAAAGATTTTCACCATATATAGAAAACAAGTCTTTATGCTTGTCATTTTTATTAGATTCAAGATTCAAAATGAAATCTCAAAAAGCGGATATGGTAGAAAAGATAAAAATATGGGCAATTGCTAGCTTAGAAGATGTTGATAATTCAAAATCTCAATAAGAATTAAATTCTGAAGCTTCTACTTCTGGAGATTATCAAGATGATAAACGAAAGAATGAAGAATAGCATGTTTTTAAAAAGAAAGAAAAAGCTAAAGAAACGAACAAACGTTTCGTTCAAGAATTAGAAACATATTTACATTTACCCCTTAAACAAAGACATAATGACTATTTTAGTGGTGGAGAAGTTTAAAGGTACTTTTTCATAATTTGAGCAAAATAGCTATGAAATATTTAAGTGCCCCAGCATCTTCCACTGAAAGTGAAAAAAATTTTAGCACTGGAGATAACATTTATGAGCCGGCAAGAAATACTGTAGGTTATGCCCTGAAAATGGTAAAATTCTCATGTTTTGCATTACAATTTAAGGGTTTTACAGTTTGAATATTAAATTTTTATTTGTTTTATATGTTTAAACTTTAAATAAAAGAAAGAGTTTTTATAATATGTATCGATAAAAGGTATAATTAAAATTGTAAAATTTTTTTAATATTCAGTTTGTCATGTAATAAATAATAAATATATAACAGAAATTTATTAGTTTTTATTACATATTTTACTAGTAACACGAGAGTTGTTGCGCATTAAATTTATTTAGGATTGTTTTCTCTTCTCTTCGTTCTTCTTACGACGTATGAACTGACCTTTACATAGGAATCATTTGAATGTTAAATATACTGTATCATAAATAAATTTTTTCACAAATATACTCGTATCAGCGGTCTGCCTATGCACAAACCTAAATACAAGAACCTTTACGATGATACCTAGATACATCATCAAAACGATGGCAACCAATAAACCCTATGCCCCGAAAAACCAAGATCAGCCCCTGCATCCAGCCGTAAATGTGTCAAAATTAACTGTATGCAGAGCTATCAAATAATCTAAAAAATAAGAATATAAAAGGAATTAGTCTTATATATAAGAGCCACAAAGAGATTTGAGTGGAAAATACATCACGTAAGTAAAATGATAATTGACAAGTTATAAGGCATTATTACAAGAAATTCGATATAGATGGGCCAGATGGTTGGTAAAGCACGCTATTAAGAAAATTAACTAATTCACTCAAGACGGCAGCAAAATATTGGAAGTGCCATGGTACGATGTGCATTGATCCTCAGAATTCTTATGTGCTAATTTCATCTATACGTATAATTGAGATCATAATAATAACCCGTAAGCCAGTTTTTATGTTGGATATACTGTATTTACGAGTAATTCAATTAAGTGTTTGTGCACGACAAAGAGCGATTACAATGCCAACGAGAAAAACTCTTAGAGATTACATGATCATGTGACCAACTTAGTGCTAAGATATGGAAAACGTGTTTGCTTCTGTATATACACATATAGACCTACAGTGCATAATTATACTGTGTTGTAATTGATTTAAAAACCCGCAAATAGCGTTAAAAACACGCTATTACACAAAATCGACATTCAGGGTACATACGAGTACTGTATAATATATATTTTCCAAACATATTGTATTTACATCCGGGATCATTGATCCTACCACCTGTTCAAACAAATTCTAATTACCGAAATAATATTCAGCCGGATTATTATCGAATAATTCCGGATTATCGGTTACATTCCGTAGAGTTCGAATCACCGGATATTTCGGATTATCGTGTGCCGGATTAGAAAACTTAATTACTTTATATTTTCAAAATTATGCTAGAAAAAGCAACAATTTTTAAACTTGCAAAAATTTTAATACTTTATATTTCAATTACACCATAGAATCCATATTCAAATTACAATTCTCAATTACAATTTTAACTTTAAACATTTTTAAATGTTAACTGTTTAAAAAACAAAATTTAATATTGATATTTTCCAATTAAATATTACATACCGAAAACCTCAGAAATTACCATTGCAATTTTCAACACTCTTGCATAATAAAATTTTTTAAGTGCAAGGGTTAGTTTTACATCATCTGAACTTTCGACATCATAGTAATTACGTAGATCTTCACTTAAATTATTTAAGAAATTTATTACCATTTGACTGAGAGGTTTATTAAGTTGAATGGGATTATCTTCTGTGGTGATTTTACCGTTTGCGTACAAATCAATCACATCTGATATATTTTTTAATGCCTCTGGCATTTTCTCATCGTACTTGTAATTAATCAGATTAATACCTAAAACTGTAACTTCACTCATGATCATTTGAGCTTTCAGGTTGATTAAGGAAACGAGAACATCAATAATATCATAAATGTCTCTCTGTTTACCTCCATCCGGTGTCACGTTTACAGTTGAAGTAGTTGGCTGTAATCACGAAATGTCTTTATATAAAATCATTTATATGCTACATAGATATATATATATATACACTGGGCATCCCAGAGGAAAAAGCGGAACCATTGAATTATTATATTAAAGGAAGTGAACTAAGAATACTGGCCTTCTTAATCCACTTTCTACAGCGGCCACTAATTCCTCAAAACCAGGGATTATTTAAATCTTTCGTTTCTCTCTGGGAGTCCCTGCATATGTATAATATTAAATATATATATATATAAAATAGCTGTTAACCTACGGGGTAACTGTCTGAAGTACTGTTTTCAGTGAAGTCTGGAAAAGTATCCGAGATGGTTGCGGGATCATCAGTAATACAATGAGTGCATTCAATAAATAGTATAACTGAAAATAATATTTGAAAATCACAAAATGTTATTTTAAATGTAATGAATTCATAAAAAAAAAGTTTTATAAATGTTACTTACCAGATACGAGGAATACGCACAGTTTCATCTTGAAGTATCTTATGCCTGTAACTCTTTATCCAATGGCTTTTTATATGAATTTTCGGATTATTTTCGTAAAGATTAACTTACAATTATTGGTTGATATTCTATAGTACTGAACATGAGTTTGATTATATTAGTTTTATATAATCAGCAATTTCGTTAAAGGTTTCATAATTGATCGGTGTCAATATCATCCTTTATGATGTAGCATTCTGTAGAAATCCCACTGTAGGTAAAAATAACAAATAATATTACAACAAATTTCTGATATACTTCCTGGATAACAGTATCAGGTAATATAATTATTTATAAAATAATTTTAATCAGATATTTCGAAGATGAAAACATTTTTTGTTTTCAATTTAATATTGTGGAGGTGTCCTATTCATTTTTATTTTATCATAGACAATTGTTTTCTGTTTATAGAACATTTTCCACCCTATGGGCAGTAAGAGGGCCAGTATGTGTTTGGCCAGGCCCCATAATGGAGTGGCAGGATGATGAATAATAGGGCCTTCTAAAGGACTAAAGTATTTTTAACCCTTTAGAATATTTCTGCAGGATTTCTATAATTACACGTGTAATTATGATTAAAAAATAATAAAAGGAAAAATAAGTAAATACACTTTTATAAAATTAAGAAACAATGTTTCATCATCTGAATCAGTTAAATTTTAATTCGTTGGGATCGTAACAGTAATCTGTAGAGCGATATTAATTAATTAAATCTACAAATAATTCTTTATCTATTTATAAAGGATCGAATAAATTTTTAATTATAAAACATTCATAAATTTATTTTAACATTTTGTGGTTTGAAAGTGTTATATGCAAATGTTTCGATAAAATTAAAATTGAGTAATTAAATTTAAGAATATCAATAAATTAATAACTAAAAATGCAGTTAATTATTTTGTGTTTACGTAAAGTTCTTTATCCACGTTAAGTACATGCAAATTTGAAAATTTGCATTTTATTGGGAAACGTTTTTTGAACTGTTAGCTATAAAAGGGAAGTAGAGCAATTATCTGGTACTAGCGTGAGTCAATTGAAGAAGAGTTTAAGGAAAGATGGCCAAAGAGGAACAGAAGATGCAAGTATTTTCTCGTCTGATGGAATTCCCAGTCCTTTCTTCTGCTTTTGAGTGGATTAAAAGAAAATACGAAGATGCAAAGAAGTCCGAAGTGTCTGAAGAATTCTTCCTTCGAACGGAAGCTATCGTGATAAAATCTGCTGATAAACTGAAACCTTCCTTAGAGAAGCTTGAAAGTCAAAGTAAGTAAATCTAGAAATATTTGTTGTTTTTTTCCTATTGTAATCGGTTAACTTTTTATTCTTAGTTTTGACCTTTGATAATTATGCTGTGAAAGGATTAAAGAAAATTGAAGAGACTTTTCCTATCACTAAGAAACAACCTGAAGAAGTACTAATAACACTTTTTAAACACTTCTCTTCCTGTTCTTATACTATACTGACTACTTTTTAAATTTTTTTTTTTTGTAGTTAAAAGCAGCTTTAACTGCTTATTTGCAAGACCTAAAATCCAGTGGCAAAATGGACGTGTTCTGGTCTCGTGTTCGGATGACTGCAAAAGAAGTATTGAACATAGTTCTGGAATTTATTAAAAGCATGCTGAAAGCTGAGACTGTAGTTTTAGTTGCTTCTGCTATTGCAAACTTCTTATTGCCTCCCTTGAAGGACGAACGTGAGTGAAATTACTATTGTTTAATAAAGAATTTAGAGATTATACTAAGTAATTTTTTACGTTCCAGCTGAATTTTCGAAAACAACTACTCTCGACCTGAAAGTGGTGTTCTCAAATTGTATACACCGAATGCGGTATTATGGAAAGGCTCTTGTCAGCATGAACCCGGTAAGTTATTTCACTTTTTTTTCTTTTTTCCACTTGAATTTATTTGTTCTCTTGTTTTTCATAGGACGTAAAATGGAGTGACTTCCCCCTTCTTGCCTTTCCCGCTAAACTCTGGTCCGTTCCTCTACTCGTGTACTACGAGATGATGGCATCTTTTTCATTAAATAAAAATGTAATTTTGTAAAGCAATTCGTTCAATAAACATTTTTTCATAATTAATTAGTGTCAGTAATTTTAATTGCTCTCAGTTTAACTGTCATAATTAGACTGGAATTACAGTGAACTTCTGAACATTTCCACTTTTGCGATATGGTGAAATAACCATCACAGCTCAGATGGTTCTATTATTCTTTTGTTAATTAGCTAAAATAATATTTCAGATGATGGGGAAGATCATAGAATCTAGGTTTGTCGTAAAAAATAATGTACAAAGTTAAAAAATAAGAGTTTGCTCGAACATTACAACTGTAAGTGCTGTTAACCTGCAAGTATTGTTCAGGTGATATGTACTGTAATTACTCATCAGGAATAATCCTATTTATAAACACTTCTTTACTCTGATCTCTATGCGCGAAACGGATGTTTAGGAAATGTCAGTAAAAGTGTCATTGACACATAACGATTTATAAATATGTAACCGTAGAGGAATCACAACTGACGATGCAACGTTAGAATTTAATGGATTATATAACCGGGTATATATAATCAAGGTAAGTTCAACTTTCAACATGTATTTATCTTCTCAGCAGACTTGTCACTGGCGTGTTCTTTTCTGTATGACATCTTCCAAATGGAATAATAGGCGTAAGAAATATCTAATCATGGGTTGGTTTGTACCAGCTTGTATACTGATTTTTTTATACGTACCTTCCCCTCTGTAAACTCAGCTATTTTTGAGCTATTCACTTTAGCATGTAAGATTTTCGCGACTCTTCGAGAATTGAAGTCACGTTTGAGATTACTGCAACGTAACGCTCGAGTCTTCTATCCGGAGGGTGTCGCCCGAAAGACTTTTTACAAAAAATTCACCTAATTAGTTTAAATGTTTGAGCTACAGCATATGTGATACTAAAATTTTTCAAAGACTTATTGTATTATTTCTTACCCATCAGAATCCTAATCTATTGTACTTGTAATTAGTGTTTGTCGAAAGTATATCGTACGTAATGTGGGGAAGAATCAAAAGTAAAAGCACAATAGACTATATAAATCGGTTGTCTAATTGTTTCATTCTAATCACGTGAAATTTGATCGCACAAATTTTGATTGAAAATAATTTCCCCCAAACAAAATAGTATGTAGGGATGCTAACTTTTGATAACTGCTGTGCCTTTTTATTCGAAAATTTCTGAAAGCACCAATCACCCTAATATGAAACCCTATTAAATTTTGGTAGTTAAAGGTTTACAGAGGAAGGGCGCATATCGAATAGTCAGACTTAAAATTGTCCTTATAAAAGATTGCAAATGCTAATAAAACTCATTTCTACCTTCAAAATTAAGCCTTTTGCCGTTTTATAATACGAAATTTTTATAACAGATGTCGCCACACACAACTTTAACTTTTTTACGGAGAAATTTATGCACCACGTTGCTAAATTTCTTAATAACATTATTAAGGTTAACAAATTAAATTTAGAGAAGTTCAGTAAAAGAATGACTCAGAATGTGCTTCTTTGCTGCCCTCTTTAACCTTATTAGTCCCACTTTCCTTGCAATTGAATTTTCCTCATTTGGTTTTGTTTTATAGCTGAAAGTGCTTATTTTTGATGACAATAATATTTTATGATAATTATTGATGTATTAAATCTTATACCTCATATTGTTACTAAATTAAGCAATTTACATTGATAATTAAATCATTATTACTACTTAAAGGGATTATAACATGGACATTACAATAGCAGTATTAGAGGATAGAAGAGAGTTGCCAATTAAATAATTGAGGTTTGAAGAGACATACAGTAGAATCTCATTTTAACAGATCATAGAACAATGGCTTTCTCGAAATTATGGCTGTTTTCCCAGGTTTCACCAAATTAATATAATTTTATTTCCTTTTAGCAGATCCATAACTTGGTATAATGAATATTTTTCTAGCTCGTTTATTGTAAACTTGATATGTTTTCAATGTTTAATTAATATTGGTTATTTCTGGGAATTCGTAGTGTTCGATGATGCACTTGTTACATCTAAGATATGTACATTTAAAGAATTGTACAGTCAGCAGGCTGATATGATTGAGGAAGGGCCACTTATCTGACACATTCTGACGCTGGTCCTAGTGTAGTGTTGAAATTTAGTGAAGTCATTGAGTCTTTCCAAGTCATGAAGACCTTCCTGATGACTGTTAGCATAAACTAACAGGCTGTACACGACATTGCTAATATCGAGCAGTTGTATTGAATAGGAAGTTAAGTAGCATCAAACGAATTAAGTTGGACAATTCTTTAATAAATTATGAAGTGCAGTGCTAATGAGCATATGCAATTTGCCTCTGTTTATGCTTACTGTATATACATTTCTGTTAGCTTTGTCATGCACACATATGGTATAATGTACAATCTTGTAACATACATGCTTCTGTAGAAATAGGGATGGAGATCTCAAAAGACTGAATAATTTTAAGTACAGGTATTTCTTATATACAGGGGGTTAAAAAATGGAAATTTTTTCGAATAATAGATATTTTTCTGGGTTAGCAGGATACAGTACATAATATGCATATAATTTATGAATGCAAATGAAGGGATAACTTGTATAAGAACCTGATATAAATTGGATATAAACTTGATAGCATGGTGAGAAAATTTGTTTGTTTTAAAAGAGGCATATAAAAAAACAAAATATCGATTTAATAATTACGTTTTTAATTTGTTTATTAAATTAATTAGTAAGAAACAAAGCCTAAACATTTATTATAGCTAAAGAACATGCTTGCTGCTCTGAATGATCCTGATTCAAGTCAAGGTTAGGTTAGGCCATTAGTAATTTTAAGAGGAATGATCTCGTGCTTTACTATTTTATCCATCCCATCATGGCTTTGTCACACTTATGATATGCATGAAGAAAAGCCATTACAGTGTAGAAAGAGTTCAAGAATAAAATTAAAGAAAACTAACTCTTATATGTTGACTATGTTTGATTCTTAAAAATTTATGCTCGATATTTTAGTTTTTAGTGTATACAGGTTACATTGAGAAATTGAAAATGCAATACACTGTATACGTTGGTTATTCTGTTCTATTGGCTGGTTATTGGTGTTGTAATTGTTTTGTTGTTCCCATGTGTTTGTAAGCTGATGAGGTGTCCTTGTACCCGAAATGCACACTTACCTAAATTTGTAATGTGATTATTAAAGACCTTCTGGTCTTTCTTTTTGTCAGCCTTGGTATGATAAGCCCTCCAAATTGTTATACCTTACTTATTAGGTTATCTAACTCTAAGATATAAATATGTTGTAGAAAACATTTTGTAAAGAGAAAAATTCCCTCAAACTAGAGAAGAAATAAAATTTAAAGGACGTAAAATTGAAATATTTGCAAGAAAATGGATATTTAAAGGACAGAATTAAAGAATTGACTGAAGAAAAGCGTTCTCTTCTATCAAAGCACAAAGGATAAATTAATAAAATTAATTATTTTCATGGGGAAAAATTTCATAAACTTCTGAAAGAATTGAAAATGCAGGACGTCGACAATATTATTATAAACGAATTAAATGAGAATTTTAAGACTACGGATACACATGATACATCAAATTTGATGGTATCTGATAATGTGTATAAACAGAATTCTGTTGCTGCAATAGAAGCCTTGACCTGTGATTTACAAAACAAATTAAATAAGTATTTCTTGTTTGTGAATTTCCAGTTATATTTTTAATCCATTTGAAAAAATAAACATGATTATTACAAACAGGACTGCTCATCATTTGTATAGATACATTAGGAGAGATTATATGGTAATGTCTAGCAAAAATGATCTTTACAGACATAAATGGGCGTAGGGTTTGACCTTCCGCCCATTGTTATGTGTAACATTAGCCAGTTTAGGAGTTCCTTAACAGTAATTCAAATAATACGAGCTTATGTTAATATACATATTTTAAATTCAAGAGTAGCTCTGGAAAATTTAAAAATATTTCCAACTCTTTACCAATTTTTAAATTATCGCCACCAGAAAATGAATCATTTTCAATCAGTAAATTATTGAAGGCGGCAAAGTTTGCCAATGCATCACTACGCTCATCTTGAGTCGTACCCCCAAGTGGGGGAGTGGGCATTAAAATCACCAACAATTAGGATGTGTGCATCCTGATTAAGATTGATAGCGGTCTGCAAAAACTGTAGAGAGAAATTGATGCCATCCCTAATGGAGCTGTAGATATTGAAAACTAACAACCTGAACCTAGGATAGTTTATTTCGAAACAGATCTGTTTGTCCGAACCCAATTGGGGGTGAAATAGAATAGACAGTTACTTGTTAGCAATGGCAACAGCCTCCCACAAGCGCTTATCAGTACATTGAAAGATTCCATAAGAGGTGTGCAAACCGGGTGAGGTTGGTGCTCTGCGCGAATGAGTATAATCTGGCTGTTTGGAAGCTGACAATACAGCGCTTCCATTCCGCCACTAATATTCGAATACACAATAGCAATCTTATCGCTTTTTTACATATAGTGTAAAAATTTGTAATAAGAAACATAATGCGGTTATAAAAAAATATTAATTTTAATTATGTGAAAATAATCGCGCAATATGTATTTACTTTTTAGAAAACACAAGGGAAACGGCGCTTCCACCGCTTCCAATGACAGCACGCCACTGACATCAACACATACAAAAAACTGTTAAACGTATGCCACCGACCGTGACGTGCATGCATTAATCCAGAACACCGAGTTAATTAAACAGGCCTATGAAACTGACTATTTTCGTAGCCTGGAGGCTTTGAAGATATATCAAACCAGCCTGACTGACAGGTGTATTAGTTTTTAAAACTGGAATACTACATTGCTTGCGTGAAAATACCTTTATGAAGAATTCGGGCGAAGTTAACCTATATTAATTTATCTCGGACACTGGCATTCCATTTCGGAATTTTGTTCCGTTAAAAACCTGAGGCAGACCTTGGTGAAGGCCGAAAATCTTCGAAGTTTTCGTTAAAGTTTTGTTACTGCTATTTAAGTTTTGTTTTTCTTTAATTTATTTCATTTAAAATAACAATACACGTTAAAAACAAGCTGACGATTGTAGCAATTAGACTTTTATCAGTGGTATGCATTCCGATTGCCGTTAACTGTGAAAACTGTTTCAGAAACTTCAGAATAATGTAAGAAACAGAAGTTGTCACGAAATATTTCTTTTTCGATAAAGAAATTACATAAACAAAACATTTCATATCGCTCGCTGCTTTAATTACTTTCGATATAGATACGCACATATTAATAAAATAGGAGAATGGGACGATTGATATCATAACGAATGCAAATAACATATTAATTACTAACGAAAACGGTACAACGAATAACACACGTGTGTTGAATGTATGGCAACTAGTGATACAGATGCTCTAAAATAAGCAAATTACAGTAAAGAAGAGAAATAACAATAACACCGGCATTATCATGAAATCGCAGTAAAATTTTCTAAAAAAAAAACATAACAAAGACATGCTGATTTCATTATCAATTAGATCAAATGTTCTGATATTTATTTGTGCCGGCGTGACCGTTAAACGCGATAAAATACAGAAAATAACGTAAGAAATTCATACACAACTTACTATGATCCTTTCCGATGACTTTCCGATTTATTCCACTCTCGAAATAAATATCTTCCCACGTAAACATTCCCGTAAACAGGTGACGGGTATAATTCTTATTGAAGTGAAAATGTTACACGGAAATATATGATATCATTTAGAAAAATGGAAGAAAAGCGATTGTTATTATCAGATCACCACTGCCGTGTAATATATTTTTAGAATTAATATTGTACTGTGCGTATAAGATATTCACAACGATGATAAGAGCATAGAACAAAGCAATTGTTCTTCTTTTATAGTTCAGTCCACAAAGTGTAAACAATGGATTCCACGCATCATCGAATTAAGCTGAAAACGAATTATTTAAAATCAATAAAATTAACTTAATTACTCTCTTATTTTACATAAAGGAAATAAAACACAATAGGGTAAATGTTATTTCTGAAAAACAAATAAAATGACTTGACAGTTAATTCAAATCATTTTAGAAATTTAAAAAAATGAATACGTTGCTAATAAAAATTTTTTAATTTATCTAAAAAACTTATAATATTTAATTATTAAGAAATTTACCACAACAATCGTTTTTTTCTTGTCCTTTATCTATATCCTGGAGTGCTGCCGGATGAAGTATTGATAAATAATGGCAAATGCACTTCTGTCCGGGAGATGGATAACCACTTCTATTTGTGATAAACCTGGTGTTTACTTAACTAATTATTAAATTTGTAACGTTAATTTTAGTTATATTTTGATATTATTCTTATTTGTTTATTTACATTGATATTAAATGTCTTAATTATAAAAATTTAGACCTAATAAAGATATTTACGTAAGAAAAAATTACAATTTGACGCATTTTCATTGCATTTTCGCAATGAAAATGGAAATCAATTTCAACTTAATTTTATCATTCACTTAAAGCATGTATTTAAGGCTGCAATTTAAAAAAAAAAAATTGGTTTTACAAATTTGCACTTCATTTCGTCTGTCTGCGGATTTGTCTGTTTTCTCTTAATATTCAGAATAAAGTCAGATAGATATAATTTGAGACAAATATAGAACAAATAGATACAGGTGACCCAGTTTAAGTATATGAGATTTACCGATAGAAACCAGAAGACACGTAATTTCAATTCAAATATTTCTTCCTCGAAGGTGCTGGATAGATGACTGGCAAACTGCTTTGCTACCAGGAAAAGAATATTGTACAGGAGGAAGTAATTACTAATTTGTGGTTAAGTGTACATATTTTAATAATCACAATAAAAGAAGGAAGCTAATATTTATTGTGACAAGTTGTGGCAGTAAATATTAGCGTCTTTCTACATTCTTAGTTTTACAGTCGATGATTTTATTGATAAATGAATTGTTTATTTGCCACATTAATAATTTTAATTTATAACTTGAAAGTAATTAAAACTTTCTAAACACATAATTCTGCTATATTTTCACCCTTCGGTTACCTTCCGCCTTACTTTATATTTCGAATCAATAAAAAAAATTACTAATTAAATAAATCTGTTTTTGATATTTTAAACAGAAATTTAATAACTAATTTCAGCTAATTTCGAGTATCGACAAGATGTAATTAAATAAATAACGTCACACGAAGTCTTTATCAAGAATATAAAACGAACGGAAATTCATGTTATATCAATTAAAATTCGAAGTAGAAACGTAGTGTGGAAGTCGAAACAGGAAATTACTCGGTAAGTATTCGCTTTATTTAAAGGAATTTATTCGAATTTAATCGAAATAAATATTTCTTCAATTATTACAATTTTCTCTTCATAAAACAATTACAGTTTTCAATTTAAAATTAGTTCTAGATTAAATTTAATAGTAGAACTTTCTCCTGTGCTGAATATTTCTATTTATAATGTACAGAAATTAAAGCAGAAATAGATTTTAATATCGATACAACAATTTAGGTGTCATTCGTTCGCATCACAGCTTTATCGTTATAACAATAAAGACGAGTCTAAGAGTTTTTCTGATTATTCCTTTAAAATTTTGATAATCTCTAATATTTACTCTAATTAGTGAAATAATTTATATAATCACGTTCATTTAAATAATGTTTTGGTGTGAACATTTCGCGACGTATAGAGAAGTCGTTTCTCATTTGCGCGTTACGTTTGTATGTATTTTATTCTTTCATCGCTTTATTTTAGGTGTGTTTGTTTTTATCTGTTAAATTGTGTGTTATTCGTCGATTGATAACAATAAAATAACATTAAACGTCAAACTTTCCTTTTAAATAAAGAATATTATCTTTCCGTAGCAATAATGTGAGATTGTGTCCTTTATACTTAAATCTAATAATTAAATCACACGTCTATGATAAGTAACAACAGCTATTAATATCTCGGAAAACACTTCTGTTAAACACGATATAAGCATTGCTTATTAAGGCAATTTTCATTTTATTATACCTTATTCAATTATTTTATTTATTTCTTTGGACTTTAATATATTTATTATTATCGCACTTAATTGCTTTGTTTTACTTTAAATTACCTGTACTCGCTGTTCTGTGTTCATCGAAATCGATATCGTTTCGGGTCGGAAAATAGTTAATTGACTTTCTATTATTTATAACGGGCAAATTTCTTCGAACTTCGAACGAGTGGCCTGCTAAAACGAATTAAATTCGTAAAATTCAACACCCCTGCATTTAATATTAGGCTAGAAAGCTTGTAATATTTTATTTTTGCAGATAATTATTAAATAATTAATTTTTATATTCAATAACAATAGCATAATGAAGAATAATATAGAAAACGACTATAAAAGAATACTTTACTTCTTGATATTGCTGCTGTTCCTGCTTGTCCTTCTACTATCGTTTTTATTCATCTGTTTACTTCAATATTCGAATATGCGAATAACTTCGCTCGAGATACAAGAGAATAATAAAAAGTCTCGGAAAACTAATGACGAAGATGCCATCATTAATGAAAACACTATTGGTCACCAAGCGAAGAAAAGGGAAATCTCTTCTCAAACCGATAAAGGATGCCAAAAGGATTGTTCTCCGACACCAAATCCACCTGAAAAAAACTGCGACACATTAAAGATAAATGAAAATTGGAGTGTAAAAGTAAGCATTTAGTAAAACCCGTGTAATACAGTCGATCCCCCTATAAGATCATTGATTTTTCCGTTTTATCTGAATTACATGTTGTACGAGTCACTTAGATTTTACAAATATGTGAGCCGTTCACAGCCCGGCACACGTATTTGTAAAATCTAAGTGACTCGTACAATATGTAATTCAGATAAAACGGAAAAATCAATGATCTTATAGGGGGATCGACTGTATATAATAATTAATAAGCATAACAATGTGTTTTTTTATCTGTTTAAATCGTGTTTCGTGTGTTATTTACGTAGAAAACTGATTACTTGGGATTTTGTTTCGCTGCCGATCAATTTTGTGGAAGAAACAGAGAAAATTCAAAAGGTATTTCTTTTATTATATTGATATATATATATCAGTTATATAAAGAATTTTCTATGGAATCGAGAGCAATTATATTAATATATTAACATTCATTTAAACAGACGAACAGGAAGACAATTTGGGAGGAGAAAATAAACAAGAAAATAAGAGTAAGAGAATTTTTTGACTCGTTTTGTATTATATTCAGAATTAATATTGACTTTGTAGAATTTCTTAATTGTTTCTTTGAATGAAATTTTGAATACAGATTTAATTTTTTGTAAAATTGATTGGTTTTGTTTCGAACGTGGCAAGAAAATCATGCAGAAATGACTTGTACGGTGAACTAAGTATAAATAGTTATATATATAATAGTTCAATTTTAACTCAAAGTGAATCAATTGTGACGTAATATATGTTGATAAATACATTTTCATTTCAATAATATTGAATAAATATGCAATTTATTTTTAATTAATAAATCGAGGTTTTTTCAGATTGCATTCTCCAAAATATTACAGAGGATGAGACTTTTCAGTACCAGAACTTCAGTTTTCATTTCACAGGAAAATATAGGTCAATATTTAGGAATATTGAAGAGGGACCAAAAGACAATTACAAGATTATTTCACAAGAATTGGGTGATGGTTTAATGAAAGAATTTCGACTTAATGAAAAGCGAGAAGTCAAAATACTAAAACAGTTTAAATTACCCGAACAAATGTTTGTTTGGGGAATTATTGGATACAACGGAAATATTTACGGTCGACATAAAAATTTTTCTGAAGGAAGAATTATCAAGTATAACATTGAAACAGAGAAGTTGACTTTTGGAGATAAATTCGATTTTAATGAGAATAAACATTTCGTATATTTATTTCACGGTGATAACTTTTTCTGGGCATTTGAAGTTATAAGTCAGACATTACATTATTTAGACACTGTTTTAGTGGGTTATAAAATGGATTTTGATAATTTAAAAGTTTTGTCAAAACTGAATTTTACTTCGAATAATTTTAATTATAGATTCACGTTCGTTGCTTATGATAAGCTGTATCGCGTTTATTATCGCTCTGGTAAGATTTATATTTCGTCGGCTTTAAACGACGAAGAGTTTCTATACATTGATGTACAGGAAGATGTATACAGATTTGAAAGAGTCATGTATAATGCTAAAGAACAAAATCTTTACTTACAGTCTACTGATTACAAACATAACTATCAAATTATTGTAAAAAAGTTACACTTTAATTGTTCAAACGAAGATTGACGAGTCGCTTCAAAACTTGAATTATATTGTTTTATTTTTACTTTTCCATATCAAATCGTTTGTACTAATAAGCAATTTTAATGTTAATAATTGTCTTGTATGAATTATTAATAAACACATTATCTGCTTACTTTGCTGGTGTAAAAATAACTGTGATAAGTACAAAATATTTATAGTTGAATTAAATGATAGTTAATAATTTTGTCAAAATTTTTATATAAAAAATAATTGAAATTAACCGATTATATAGCATAGCGGGGTTGAATCAAACGGGATATTGATTAATGCGGTAGTATTATACACAGTATACATGTTACCGTCAAAGTTCATAATTCTTTATTCTATACTCTAGAATAACGAATTATGTTGCCCAACTGAAATAAACAGGCGTCATCATCGATATAGATAGGCATCGCCCAACTTCTAGGTAATATGTAATTCAGATTGTATATACTGTATAGTCCACCTAATGCTATTACATTGTATTTGCATATATGTCAGTACTGTGTACTTTATACTTAGTATTCTGTTTCCAAAATATATTCATTGTATATTATATGCTCTTCATTGTATATGTTTTGTTGCTCAGTATCAACAATTAATTGGAACTCCATACAATGCTTAATCCTTCTATAACTATATTTGCCTATTTTACGGTTATACTGTCACGTTTTATTCCTTTGCAAATTCCATGTACCGCCTGTACTAATGCACTGTATACAATACTTGTCTATTGTTCATTGTATCCAGTTCAAAGTTTATATATTGGCCGCGTTTACATATTAATTAATTAATGCGAAATTGTTTATTTGCACTCTATTTCTCTGTAACTTTCTCCTTATCTTATAGAATAAAATGAAATTGTAAACATCAGAATTGAAAACGTTTCTACACCTTTACAAAATTTAACAACAAAAGCAGATATAAATGATAGACTCGTCTATCAATTTTATATTTAGAATAATTAAGGTAATCCGATCACAATGACAATACAATGTGGTACGGTTATGTTTTTCAATGAATTTTTGTTTAGAGTTAATATGTAACTTGATTTGTACCTCCATTAATGGACTGGATATATATATTTGTCGCGAATTGGTATTCGTCAATGTTATTTGCCAGGAAAAGTGCTCAAACGATACGATCACCATGAAGGAACATGTGATCTGATTCTGATTAAAATGAAATTTTCGACTGTAATTTATTACATAACTTTGTTTGTACTTGTATTAATGTAGTTGTGAAAAACCCCACAATTGTCACTATTGAATTTTTCTTGTGACGAAAAACTGGTTTAAGATAAAGTAAATCATATGGTTTAAATTTTAGGAAAAATTCCCTTCATTCTAAATGTCCATGAATAATAATAATTATATCAGTTACTACCAAAAACTGGCCTAAATTAATACACCATTGTTAAACGAAGTAAGAAATGAAAGTCACGGAACACGATGTTGAATAATGACCTTCATTTGTGGTAATCTGCTAAAGACAAGACAAACAAAGAAGGAAACAAAAGTAAGGTACACGGTTCGATTAACGTCGAACAAAAGACGGTGTTGAATTGCATTAATAAACAATCCACTTTCTTGGAAAGTAATCTGGTTTAATTTCACCTGGTAACAGGAAAAGACCAGTCGGGAATCTAGAAAGGGAATTATTTAATAACCAATAAAGTAACGATTTTCGAGTCTACAAGATATTTAAACCGAGGACACAAAGAAACTGCTTATTTTGCCATGGCGTCCCACTAGGCAACAACACTCGCTGGGGTGTTTCCCGCGAGCTTACATGTTCGTTCTTTTGATATATATCCTCCAAATTTATAGACCTTCGTTTAGACTAACTTCGGAAATTCCGATGTACATTCACCGGACATCTTGTCCAGTTCGAGAACAGGACATAGAGTGCAGTGTCTGGTAAACAATAGGAAACCATCTGCATCTCCGGACTCGACTCTGCTACTTTTGAATAAGATTTTTGTAAAAGGTGCTTTTTCTTGGTCGAGCGGAGTTCGTCCTGGTACTTCGAGTGGACGAGTTCCCGAACACTGGAAGATTGGTCGCGGATCCGTGCCGCACTCAAACAGCCTATCCATGTATAGTTTTTCTCCACGTCTGTAATGCCGAAATAGAAGCCAGTTTCCTTTTAAAAATCCTCCTGGAAGGCACCCCTAGACAAGGGGTGGGTAACAGTTTTTTCCTTCGAAAGAAATTGGAAAGAAAACTTTTTCCACGGGCCGAACCAAAGGCTGCGCTAGTAAGATTTTGAAATGATGCGAGATCTCATTGTGGTGTCACCTCGTAGATAAAGATTACACATACATTTTTCACATTATCATGCTTTAGCAACATTCTACGCTATAATTACGAGATTTGTAATGGAGGGTTAATCTAAACGTACGGTGAGTTGTTGACCTTTTTTTCTTTTTTAGGAGTCAGAATTTTTCATCGAGATATTCCGACTTCACTAGCTAATATACAAAAATTGATCGCGGACCACATAAATACATTAGACAGGTTGGATTTTGCCCGCGGGCCGTATGTTGGCCATGTATGCCCTAGACAGATGGCCCAAGTGTTGCATTGTGATAACTAAACAAACGAAACGAAACGTAAAAAATAATTGATTTATGGAAATTTAATCGAAATTTCCAAAAGCAATGTACGACATGACGTACGTTAAAAGGATTTGGAAGTAAGTACCAAATTTCTTAGCAATTGGTCGAACAGCCAAGAAATGTATAGCGAACAAAGAAAGAAACATCCTCATTTATAATCGCACATGTCGTTCTTTATAGTTACTGACGAAAAAAACCCAAAATCAAATTGATTGACACTCGTAATACGTATAACGAGCTACGTTTATCATTCTGTAAGCACGATTTTATTGTTGCATAAACAAAAAGTTTTAAGAATTGTTTTTCAACTATTGTTGAAGTTACAGAATTGTTTAATTCAGTTATTCAAAGCGAATTTTCATGATAAAAATGGATAATATTAGTAAGTTAAATTCTTTTTAATGTATAATTATATTAAATCTTTTATAACGTGTTGGTAATGAATACAAAGACACGAATTTTATAGTAATTTTCTACGGGATATATAAAAATCCGAATAAAAATGTTATACGATGGAACGATATTTAACTTTGCATTCATTTTCTGTCGAAGAAAATTACAGCATTGCAAATAAATAAAAATTTGTTATTTTATTTCTGCATCTTTTCTAAAATTTTATTGTTCGGTTCCATTAAGATGAATAAAAAGAAGCATATAAAAATTACAAAAACAGTTTTACAATAAAATAAGATATTCAAAATTAAAATTGGAATCTGTTGTTACTTTAAAACAATCTTATGAAAAGTTGTCACAAATGTAATCTAAAGGCTAATGTATCAGTGTTTAATGTATACTTACGACTTGATTTTCAGTACATTTAAGGATTTCTTCACCGAGTAATACTATATTTTATATATAAAAATGTTTTGGTTTATTACTTTATGTATCGATATTCTTAAATAAATCGATCTTAACCGCTAAATAAATGCAAACAATTTTCACTTATAAGAAAATTGTTGTAAAGAAAGAGTAACAAATGCGGCAATTATTTTTAATTGGTTAAAATTATCCATTCATTTCCCTTTACATTTTATCATTGTTTCTCGAGTATACAGATATAAATGAATATTTGATTATTATTTTTCAAGTTAATCTGAAAATTGAATATTTTAAACTTATTTTACTCAAACTTTTTATTAAATTGTATCAATGAAAATAAAGTAAGCTTCTGAGTGTACGCTAATAAATATTCGTTTATTTACTTCGACAGAGAAAAACTCTTCATTAATATTACATTTTCAGTTGTCATTATAATTGAAACAAATTATACTTTCTACACAATTAATAATTCCAAATCACATTGCAATATTTATGCTTTTATATCAAGTTTAATTTAACAAATTTCTAAGCAAAAATTAATTAATTTTTTAAAATTTTAATATCTATTTTTGTAAATTTGCTATAAAATAAAGTTTCGAAATATCTTTGTAGAATAACAACTTCATATGTTTATTTGGTGTAAAGTGTTTGTTATTTGCTTTGTTCCTGTTTTTCAAATTTCTATATAGTTTTTGAATTCAGGCGAAGAAATTGTTACGAATTTCTGTATTTATTGAGTTTCCTTTTATTCTTTAGATTGCGAAGAGAAAGAAGAAGTTATTAATTCAAACGAGCAAGTCTCGTGTGACGAAAAAAAAGTCACCTTGGAGGAGTCTGTTGAAACGATTGTACACATCATCATGGATCTGGCAGCACAGAAAAGGAAAGAAGTACCAAAATCGTCTTCTTCTGTAAGTTACAATTCGATAGAAATAACTGAAAATAATTTAACAATTCTTACCATTTAAAAGTTTACAACTGAAAAACTCATGACAACTATGCACATTCTTATGAAATGTGTTATTTATAATAGCTGCAAATTGTTTATTTATAAATAAAAAAAAAATATTTTCTGAGTTAATAAAAAACACTACGAGTACTGTAAGATTATTATATCGTTAATCAGAATTTTTCATTTTTTGCAGGATTTTGCTGATAAATTAAGCATAAAAAAAGAAGACTCCTTAGAACTAACTGAAAAAGGAGAAGTAATGGAGGAAGGTAAGGTCACAAATAGATTATAAATACATTTTATAATTCATAAAATAATTTGTTTAAAAATTATTAACAAATAATTTAATGTTAAATTCATTGTGTTAAAATCTGTTTAAATTAAGTAACTTAATATTATTCATCCGTCTACAATTTGTCAGGTGTGTTGGAAGTGGTAGTTTATTATATTCGAAACAATTCAAAATTAGCATTAATTTCAAAATGTTTATTTCTAAAAGAATTTCATTTATTTTGTCAAAAATACTAGAAATAATTATTTTTGTTGCTTAAATTTTTTAATTCTTCGCGTTGTCAAACGAAAACTCAATTTATTTACGTGTATATAAGTGCAAAGGGCTTATTATGAATAACATCCAATATATAACCACAAAATGAAACATAAACATTGAAATTAACTTTGAAACAAGATATAATCTGTGAAACACAAACAGAAAAACACTGTACACTTAATATTCTGTTTATTATATGTTTGATTTTTTGATTCAATCAGAATGGGAAAAACCTGAACTTAAGTTATATTTATATTCATAGCGATTACATTTATTTAACGTACTGTTTATACATGTGTACTGCTTTGTCATTTTTTTATAGTTTAAATATTATATGTGTATATATTTAAAAACTTTTCAATCCAGCTTAATTTGCGAGAATAAATGAATATTGAAATACGTACTGTACAAATATTTCACATTAACACGAATATTTCACAATGTTACATTTGTTTCTTTTTTTTAATAAACTTAGTTATAGTTAATGGCAGAACTATGATATTAAATTACAAAATAATTGTAATGTAAATTATAAAAATTATAACTTTTTAGTCTCCAAAGAAATAATCAAATTTGATGAAGAGAAGACTGGTGATGACGATCGATATTCGTGGGAAAGCGAATCGGTGAAAGATGACGATGATGATAAAGTAAGATAATATTTTCTAATTTTCCTTACTTTACGCTTATAAACCCATTCTCGTTATTCGCTAAGCTGTTTTGAATAATGTTTTGGTATTTCAAGATTTTCGTGTCTAAAATAATTTTATACATTTTAAACGATTGGTTTTACAAAGTTAATATTGAAATTTAAAAAAAAATGAATTTGAAAATATTTAAATATTACTTTGAAAATGGGCATATTTACGATAAGACAAATTGAGATATTTCATTCTTCGAAACTTCACTGTTACAGCGGAATGATGGCATTCGATTAAAAACATTACATAATACCAGGTTATCGGACAGCACAAAATATGTTTTAAATGGTTTTCTATAGTGCGAGTTTAAATCTCTGGTGTATTTTTCGCCAAAATTGATAGGTCGGCAGATTACTGTTTGATGAATAAAACAGTTTGTCAGTACAAACATGTTAAAAATTTAACATATATTTTCAATTAGTGTCTACTTTACCAATGAAATTGTGTTATTTCGTACCATCTGAGTATCGCTATAAACGTAATGATGTTAGCCTAAACTAATTAATTTTTAGATGGTTATTATATCATAGTATTTGTTTTATATATTCACGTAAGGATTTAACATACAGAGTGACCAATTTAACACATTATAAAAATTTAAAGAATCTGTCAGATTGTCTCTCGGTGTGATAAACCCTTATATAAATAACCTTTGTAATTATAAATCAAATACTATGATTTATTATAAAGGAAGAGTTAAAAGTACGAAATAATGTAATAATCTTAATCTTTGTAGTTATCATTTTCTAGTTTACCAATATATTTACCCTCTTTGCAGAAAACAACAAAATGTACGGACATCTTTCGTTATTTATTTATAAAACTGCCATCCGTCATCTTTTCCTGCTGGAAAAAAAAATAAATGCTCCACAATAAAAAAGGTACGTAAAAGATTGCGTAAATTTTAATTATAACATGACTTTTATTTAATAAAAGTAAATCGGTGTAAGATTATATTAATTAGCGAAAATTAATTTATTTCTGCACATTTATCGTAACTTTTATTAAAGGTTACGATAAATGTGCAGAAATAAATATTCACATAAAATTTAATACACTTTAACACCAAGGTATTCTACTAGTGAATAATTTACTTAAAACCTATTGCCATAATCGTGAATACAAATTTATTCTGTCATTTGTCGGTTCGAATCAACGTCTGAATAACTGTTATATCTACAAGAATTTCTTTATCTTGTTATCACTGTACTTTCATTTTGTATAACGTACTGCATCTGTGACAATATAACACGCTGCTGTTACTCCTAAAGTTCAGACGAGTTAATAAAAACAGTTAATGCGAAAACAGAACATTTTAGCCCTCCCTTTTAACTGGCTTTACTTTCTCGATTAAAATAACCGTATATTATAACCATAACTGGTTTAACGATAAGGTCGAATATTAATTTGTTATACCCCGTTTGCACTGAATATTTCAATCCTGATCGAGATTAATGGCTGCGACTATGCCGTGGTGAGATTTTTCTCGAGTGAAACTAGGTTCAATCACGATAGACTCAAGCCAGTTCTTAAAACTAAATTCAATAATAATAGAGTTTTCACAATCCCACACGTGCGAGAAAATACAAAAAGTCGGCTGTTTAGAGAGAAATGAAAATGCCGTCTGTCTATTATTTGATTTATGGAAAGAAAAAGTGTTTATTTCTAAACAACACTTTCATTTGGTTTGTTGGTGTCCGTGACTTACGGCGTAGTTATCTCAGTTTAATAATCGCGTACAATTACCGGGTTCTTCTCAAGCGCCTGTGCGAACAGCTTGACAGTTACAATCGATTTGTAGGTAAATCGAGATGGAAGTGAGTCGCGAACGTTGTGTTACTGTATTTACTTATAATATACTCTGCGTTAAGCAAAATTGAAAGTAGCATTTTACAAATTATGAGTTTTACAATTATGCTAAAATTACCACAAAGGCTTGATTTGTCTACACTTTTACACAAATTCCATGTATTAATTTGTGATCTATACCAACTTTTCTGACTAACCCGAAATTCAAACGACAGTTTACTGTTTTTTCCCGACTTTTATGTTTCTCTATATATTTAACCGTATGTGTGTCTGTATGTACAAGCGTGTAAACTAAGTTCCTAAAAATAAGTTTAAAGTTTGGCATTAAAAATAGCTTTATAATATATATTATAAGAAGAAACTCATATTATCACATGGAAAACACTGCAAAATCTCTTAAAGAATTAGATGAAATGAGAAGCAATTTTATTAAATTAATTTATGTTTTTCTGCTATAAAATGACTTTATTATTTGCGGCATAGATTCTAATTAAGTAAACGTAAAATGTAAACAAAAGTGAAACCTGTAAGATTTAAATTATAAGTCTTGTAATTAAAATTGATTTAATAACGCTTTTCTTTAATATTTTTACAGGGGAAACTGAGCTGTTGCAGTTTCTTTCTTTTTATTTCTCTATATTTTGAAAAAATTTAATTCTAAGAAGCATTTCCAGTAATTATTCTAAANCGTGAAGTTTAAATTTTTATAGAAAGATGGTTCTTTTTAGTCCAGCTCTGGCTAATAGGAGGAGATTTTAATGCTCGTATTAGCGAGAACACCGATACTGTATTTTCTCAGAATTTTGATAATATTTCTAACAGAAGAACATCAAAAGATAAACTGCTAAACAGAGATGGTAAAGCACTCCTAGACTTTGTACAAGATAATCAATTAATAATTTTGAACGGTAGAATAAAAGAAGATATTTCGGCGAAATTGACTTTTGTCTTACCAGACGGAAAATCGACGATAAACTACGTTATTTGCTCAGAATTTATGTTAGAATACTGTAAGTCTCTGTCAGTTCTAAAGGACGACTTATCGGATCACTTCAACTAGTGTTGAAATACTACAAAGGTATAAGTAGAGAAAAAAACTTCGAAAAACAACTCCATACATTAAGTATTCACTATAAACCTTCTTACAATTAACGGAAATTGTTAAAAGAGTTCCAAAATATAATTGATAAAATGTTAATCTTAGAGGAAGGTAATAAGCAAATCACGAATTACTTGACACTTACAACGAAACTAGAAGAATACAGACTTGGAAAACGCTTAAGCCTTTACAAGCAAACATATAAGTGTGAATGATATGCCAATACATGTTATTTTCAAAATATTAAAAAACAAAAAAGTTTCAAAGTCTTTAGAAAAACTAATACAGAAGAATCCTTAATGAAATACATTAGAACTTCGATTATCCGGACCTCTATTATCCGGATTTTCTATTATCCGGATTGTTCAAAATAAACAAAAATTTTACGAATTTGCTGATTTGCACTTGGCGAATTACGATGCTGTTTATGTACGTGATGGAACGCATAACTTTTCTTGTTTCAACAACGTCTCACCCGGCACAGTGGTCGTAAACTCTTAAATATATTTTACGTCATAATAAAAATATAACTTGACATACGTATTTATAAATAATTTATATTCAAATTACATCATTTCTATGACCAAGAGCGGCGTATGGGCAACGTGGGCCACCACCTATGCCTCTCGGTTTGAAGGTTTATGCATTACTTAAAAGCCGCGAACGCGACGAAAAAGTTTTGCTCGTCATAAAACGATAAATAGTTTGTCAAATTTTTATTCATAAAAATGCAGTTTCAACTGCTTTTTATTTTATAAGATCCGTCTTTTTGCGCCAACAGAGGACCTATTAAACAATAGGTAGTCTGTTAGCGCTGGTCAGTACTAGTCCAAATTCAATACGAACGTTTGTTTCTTGAAAATTTGATCACGCTTTAAATACAGTATTTATTTTTAATATTACCGATATGTCATCGAAAAGAAAACGCGTTGTATTATCATTAAAAGACAAATTAAAGTATTTGTTTCGATTATCCGGATTTTTCCTTATCCGGACTACCTTCATCCCCAATTAGTCCGGATAATCGAGGTTCTACTGTATTTATTTTTAATATTACCGATATGTCATCGAAAAGAAAACGTGTATTATCATTAAAAGACAAATTAAAGTATTTGTTTCGATTATCCGGATTTTTCCTTATCCGGACTACCTTCATCCCCAATTAGTCCGGATAATCGAGGTTCTACTGTATTTATTTTTAATATTACCGATATGTCATCGAAAAGAAAACGTGTATTATCATTAAAAGACAAATTAAAGTATTTGTTTCGATTATCCGGATTTTTCCTTATCCGGACTACCTTCATCCCCAATTAGTCCGGATAATCGAGGTTCTACTGTATTTATTTTTAATATTACCGATATGTCATCGAAAAGAAAACGTGTATTATCATTAAAAGACAAATTAAAGTATTTGTTTCGATTATCCGGATTTTTCCTTATCCGGACTACCTTCATCCCCAATTAGTCCGGATAATCGAGGTTCTACTGTATTTATTTTTAATATTACCGATATGTCATCGAAAAGAAAACGTGTATTATCATTAAAAGACAAATTAAAGTATTTGTTTCGATTATCCGGATTTTTCCTTATCCGGACTACCTTCATCCCCAATTAGTCCGGATAATCGAGGTTCTACTGTATTTGTTTTTAATATTACCGATATGTCATCGAAAAGAAAACGTGTATTATCATTAAAAGACAAATTAAAGTATTTGTTTCGATTATCCGGATTTTTCCTTATCCGGACTACCTTCATCCCCAATTAGTCCGGATAATCGAGGTTCTACTGTATTTGTTTTTAATATTACCGATATGTCATCGAAAAGAAAACGCGTTGTATTATCATTAAAAGACAAATTAAAATATTTGTTTCGATTATCCGGATTTTTCCTTATCCGGACTACCTTCATCCCCAATTAGTCCGGATAATCGAGGTTCTACTGTACTTACAAAATAAGAAAACATATATAAATTTAATTAAAGCAAAAAAGAAGAAGTATTTTTCAAATATTAGCAAGAAATTACCAGAATCAAGTGATACCAGAGTTTTCTGGTCAACAATTAATGGATTTCGCAAAAGGAAATCAGACTATAGTGCGTATATAATAGTAGAACATGACAAGTGGATTAAAAATTTAAAGAATTTTCCGAAAATTATTTGTTAAACCATAATCAAACTCAAATGGAATTTAAGTTATCACAAATAACGAATCATTCAGAAATAATTCAAGTGAAAGAAGTTCAGGATCGGATTAAAAAACTAAAAGACACATCAAAACCTGGTCCAGATATGATACCGAATTCGCTTATTAAAATATTTCCTCTAGAGCTCATCAGCTATTTGACCAAACAATTCAACGAATTCTACAATCAAAGTATAATTCCGGATAAATGGAACGAAGTAATTTTTACAATGATATATAAAAAAGGCAAAAAAGAGGAACCTTCAAACTATAAACCAATAGCGTTGTTATCGAACCTTCGGGAAAATATTCACATCAATTCTAGCGAATACATTTAATATTTGGACAGCCACAAATAACTATAGGAATGCCACGCAATATACCTTTGTGGACAGAGGAGGTACCCAAACTGCACTATTCGTTTTAATGGCATCAATACAAATACAATTAATCAAGAAAAGACAGTCTTTGCTTTTTATAGATCTAGAAAAAGCGTATGATTCGATTAGTATTAACTATTTACAGAAAAAAGTTGAAAAAACATAAAGCAGACGAACACTTGATAAAAATGACAGGTTTGTTGTTTAGGAGATACAAGACGATAATTAAGCAAGATAATAATGTTTGGCCACCGTTTATAACATATAAAGGTCTACTACAGGCAGACCCTCTGTCTCCTTATCTTTTTAATTTTTACCTATTCGACTTAAATAAATGTTTTTTAAGAGACGAAGACGGCATCCAAATAGACAACCAAACCATACACTCAATCTCATACGCAGATGATATTGTATTAGTAGCTCCNTCTGTCTCCTTATCTTTTTAATTTTTACCTATTCGACTTAAATAAATGTTTTTTAAGAGACGAAGACGGCATCCAAATAGACAACCAAACCATACACTCAATCTCGTACGCAGATGATATTGTATTAGTAGCTCCAATATTTGGTATTTCAAGATTTTCGTCACTAAAAATAATTTTATACATTTTAAATGATCGGCCTTAGAAACTTTATATTGAAAATTTAGAAAACTTAATTTTAAATTATTTAAATATTGCTTTCAAAATTAATAAATTTACGAAAAGACTAATTGAGATATTTCATTCTTGGAAAATTCACTGTTACAGCGAAATGATGGCATTCGGTTAAAAACATTACATAATACTAGTGTGAGATATCGGACCCGAGTAATTACTTCCGTTAGTCCGACAACGCTCACGAGTCAGGAGATAGCCGTTCAAGGTTATTAGCCCGTAACAACGGGACGCGTTTTCTAAGAGCGTTAAAGGAGGTGAGAGGGTCGTCAGTTTGGCTTAGGCGATATTCGAATAGACAACACCAAAATGCAAGGAAAACGAACATTTAATAATACATTTAGATTTAATACATTGGATACGCTATTCTAATTATGTTCTTTCGCGTAGTACCGAGAGAGAGTTTACATGGTCAGCGATCATACCTCTGGACGAGTTCAAGTTCGTATTCAAGTTCGTATTGGTGTGGCGATCGTCGTCCGGATCGGCTTCTGTAGGCGATGAGATGGGTTGATCAGGAGGAGATCGGATCGGGTGTAGTTCGTGAGAGACTATTCCGACCCCGTTTCGGATGGCAACCCCCTTTTTATATTCGGGATCACATGATTACAATAACCAATCGTACCTATCGGTGATGACTGTCATCAGAACTCCGGTTGAGAATCCGGTGAGGGAGGAAGTAGCTTCCGGCAGAAAAAGGATGAGCATCCGTTTAAAGATTTCGATAAGATCGCGTACGGGTTCACTAAAAATTTATGTGGCTGGGCCTATTATTTGGACCCTTACATTACCTTCGTCTTTCCAAAATCGTACTAGTCTTCAAAGGCAAGTTCGATTTTGAATTTGTTCAAGAGGGTTACTCTCTCTTATATATAAGTGGGTGTAAATACAAAAACGGTTATCTTTTTTTTTTTCCAATTTTACAAAAGATAATTTTTCCAATTTTACAAAAGCTAATACATGATAAGAATAAGTACAATTGTTATTAATGACATATAGTACGTATAATTAATAAAATTGTATAGTTGATTCTTGAAGATTTCTCGAAGACGTAGTATAATGATTCTTGGAGAGGTTGGGCTTGGTTCATTGGTGATTGGAGATACATGCGTTACGTATATCCGGTGATCGGTTGAGGTCGTCCAGGGTTGGTCGACCTATGGACTGTCCTGGGAGAGGTTAACGGTTCTTAGAGTCACGTGGCGTAGAGTTCTTTGTTCTTGCTAGTTCTGAGACGGGGATGAACGATGAGGATAATTTGTATTGATAATGGTCGGATCAACGTTCAGGTAGATCGAGGTTGGTTGGAGAAAAGGCGCACTGGATCAGTTCGTAGGATAAATGGTGATATGTTGCGGTCCGTTG